CGGTGGCAGGAGCTGCCCAGGGTTGGCGGCAGGAGGCCCGTTGCTCCGGCTCATTTGGGCTCTGGCGCAGCGACGGCTCTCCCAGCAATCCTCCCGCCTGATCGGTGTCTCTGGTGGGAGCTGGGCTACCCCTGCTCTAAGGCACCTGGGCTGGGCCCAGAGGATGGAGGAGTTGTATCAGTTTTAGGGGTTTGTAGCCCATGTGTGCTTTGTATTCCTTGGAAAACCACCTAAGAGCAAGAGGATGAAAGTAAGTAGGCGGTGTGAGCTCTTTGGTGGACGTTGGATGCTGCAAATCTCCAGTTATTAGAGATACAACATCCAGAATAACAGACTGTACCTGAGGAGAAAGAAGAGTCAAAGAGAATGAAAATAGGAAGAGATGGGGATGATGATGTTTTCCAAAATGCTTAGCGTAAAAATGACTTCTTTTGGGACTTGTGATTTAAAAGTTGGGGAAGCTGGGCATTTCAGGCTCAAGTGCGCTGCTGTGGAAAAGACCCCATAATAAAAGTTCTGCTGCAGCCATCTCCACGTGAGTTCACAAAGGATGTTCAGAAACTAGAGGAATATCAAAGTCGGAGCTTTGCAACCTTGTGCTGCTTTTTTGAAAAAGTGTATGATTTGCATTTGCCATAGCCAGAGCACTTAAGGAAGCATCCTTAGGATAGGCGAAGCTCTCTAAGGTGGAGTAATTTACCCCAGAAGACCATTCAAACCGCAAAATATGTGTAAAGGGGGAAAAAAAAAAAGTGGCTTTAAAAAACCAAAATGCAACAAAATCACCTGCATCTTCCTCTGTTTACCATACTGTTCAAATAACTTGATAACCAAGTTACATGCACTGATTTTGTCAATCTGCCCACACCACTGTTTGGTTCTGTTAACTGTGTATTCAGTACAGCAGCAACCTTTGCCTCTTACGAGACCGGTATTAGGTTGCCTCTAGAGCACCTTCTACCAAGAGCGCAGTTTGAATATTGGCAGAAAGTTGCAACAATTATTGCAACTAAAATGTTGCGGACTGAAGGCGCTAAAGTATTTCCCCTTTCTTCCAGTTAAGTATTACTGGGATTTCCTAAGAATGGACTCATAGATTACACCTGGGCTGTTCTTTCCTGTGTCACAATAGATGAGGTCAGGATTCAGAAATGTGCTTGTGTTTTAGAATGGATTATTTGTTCATCGTTACTGTAAACTCCCATGGGAAACTGATGTTTTCTCTGTGAATCATTTCTGGCAGCTATACCTATCCTTCCCTGGAATAATTATGACCCAGACAGCATCGAGGGAGGAGTATTTGCTTCAATGAGTGAAACATTTCCACTTAGGAAGTAAATAATGCTGATCTCTGTCAAGGTTCAGACTGCGTGAGCATTGTAATTCATCTCGTAAAGATTTTGAATGGTTCTTTACTCTTGTTATGCATCACCCCTGCAGATTAGATGGGAATGCAGAATGCGTTTGGTGCCTTCTTGTGTGGCAAATGGAGTATTCACATTAAGAAGACAACCTTCAGAGCAGTGAGCAAGGGATTGCATGGAGGTCATTGCAGCGCAGACGACTCCATTAACGAGTATTCAGCATCACAGGTGTACAGTTGAACTACAGTAGCTTCCTAGAGCTGTGGGATGAGTACATGTGCAGCTCCTTTGTGAGTCGTAGGGACCTGCAGAACCAAGGGAAGCTCGATGCCTGTGGCAGCACTAAAAGTCTGTTCCCATCTGGATCCAGCTTATTATGGGCTACTGATTAGATGGATTTTTGTCCTCGCAACTCAGTACCTGTGATATTGACAGAGATTGCTGTCTTTTGGCAGTTCTGCGACAAGACACCTGGTGCTGGCATGTCACATTGCATCCATAAGTAAATTCAGAGTGCAGTGAAATGATGCATTTCTCCAGGACTCTTTCTACAAAGTGTCTTCGTGTAGCTTGTGTACTTCACTGGCAGTTTGAAGAAGGGATCTCTGTAGCATCCATGTCAGAGAAGCAGTGGGAAGCTGCACAAAGTGTGGTTTTGCCTGTGTGTAGGTCACACGTTTCTAGGCCCAAGGCAGTTCTGACCTGAGGCTGGTACTCTGCTGTTTGACTGCTCTGTTGAGCATGTGTCACGATATATAGTATGCTAGCCTGCTCTGCTGTTTTCAGGTAGTGAGGGACCATCCTCCTTTATACTGCAGTGACTTAAGTTTTATGAGTTTGTGGCACAGCCTGGAATATTCTTTTATGATGAATAATTTTTGGAACTGGCATTGCCTTTCTTGAAATGCCAAGAGTTCTGAAGCCTGTGATGTTTCATTCATTCCTGGGGAGAGGGAAAAGGTCCACTGAAATAGCATAAAACTCTTAAGGTTGGGGAATGGCGCTCCTTCCTCATCCAAAAAACCCCTATGGTATTTGTCATTTCCTTGTCTAAGCATGCTGTTCCTTTTCCCACTTTTCCCAGTGTTATTGCCTCCCCCCACCTTCCAGTTCCACCAGTTCACTTGGATGAAACAGGAGGGGTGGTGGTTGTTTTTAAGGAAAAGCCATGTGGCAATAATTGAACTGTGCTTCTCTTGTACCTTTGTATTGTTGGATGTTTCCGTTTGTTTTCTCTGCAGTGGGTTTGACTGTCTTGACTGGTTGATAGCAGCCTTTTAAAAAAGCAGTTCTGCCTCTTAGTTAAAGCAATAAAGTGTCCATTTTATTCGTTTCTGATCTGGAGGAAGAGGGGATCGTACAAGTCTCATTAGGCTCTGCAATGCTTTCTGAAAAGGATATTCTTTCTTTTTGATAATTTCTGTTTTCCTAAAGGCAATAAACACCGGTGCACCTTAAACTCAGCAATGTTATATCCTCCTCCGCAAAGGAAGTCTAAACGAAAGTGTTGCCCAAGGCATGTTTTGGTGATGATTAGAACGAAAGATGACATGAAGTTCACAAGGACATTTGGTTTTGATGCTGCGCTCGTGTGACAGGTGTTTGGATGTCACAGTGAGGCGTAGCAGGAAAAGTCTGAAGCAAGAGAGGTGCTAAAGCTGAACAGAAATCAGGCTCTTTCTGCATGCTAGAAACTTGATTTTGCGTCAAACTACTCTTCCATACGTTTAAAAGGGGATGTTTGGCTGGAGGAAGAGTTTATTTTTAGGCCTCGGTGGTTTCGGTTGCTTTATTGGTAGGCGGCAGTGTTAACAACATGTCACGTGGCACAAAGCTGCTCCCGTTGCCATGTCTGAGTACACATCCTATTAGCTTGTCAGCTGGTTTGTCAGCCTGGTTTGAAGTGGCTCTGTGTGGCAGTTGGTTGGTTTGAAGTGGCTCTGTGTCACGGCAGTTGATAAGATTTGCTGTACTTTTGGAATCTGCGCAATTTGGCCCTTGGCATTCTGTTGTTTTGGTTTTTTTTAAAAAATTTCGAGAAAATTTTGGATGCTATGGATAGCTTGAGAGGAAGAGGGAGACCCAGGGATGCCCAGAGATAAAAGGACGCTACAGTAGATTTTTCCAGAAGTCAAAGCAGCAGCTTGGCCCTAAATATTGAAAGCCATACTCCTCTGTCTTGTTGTTCTGGTAAAGAGGTAAACCAGGCTTTGACAATCTGTTTGATTTAATTCAAAGTTGTGGATGTGCTGCATCTGTGTGGTATTCACCTCATTTACCAATTGTCATGGCAACAGCTGGAAAGGCTATCCCAAGCTTTTACTGATCCCAGCACAAAATCTGCAGTGCTTATTGCAGGTAAGCAATAACCCTTCCCTGTTCCTGCTGTAGCTAGCATTGATAAATAGCAGCAAAGATTGACATTTCTCTGGCATTGGCACTTTTTTTAAAACTGCTATTACTTTTGGAAAACAGACAAACATTTCTTTCATATGCATCTTTAAAACTTGCTGTATCCCAAAATCAAACCCAAAGCTAACTTTCTGGGCAAGTGAAACTCAACACTGCGGTATTATGTGGTAAGATGCATATGAAGAGTCTTCCTCAAAAATAGACTGGTATTGACTTTTTGTTGCTAAAATCATGCTGCTGGTGTTTTCCTGGTCATTTCTTTCAACTCTGTTTTCTGTGCTTGTTTGTTTCTGTTGCCATTGTGCCTCTGGTAGGTGTTGCACATATTCCTGAATTTGAAATCAAGGGCTGCTACTGGAGTTTTGTAAAGACTTCTTGCCCAGTTCTCTTCCCTCATACCCAGTGCTCTGGAATAAGTCTTTTGGATATTATGCAGATGTTTCTGTGCCTTGGAAGTCTCGCTAGTTTGTGTATCCTTCCCAGCTGTGAGGATCCCTGTTTTAAATAAAGTGTAGATTTATCTACTCAGCAGGTCAGGCCTCTTCTGTGGCCAGGTCATTCTGGGGAAAAAAATTACCTTTCTTGCCTTTATTTTTAATTTTTTTAACGGGGTTGGAGTTAAATGTACCTATGATACTATGAAGAAAAGGGGCTTCCAATTTGCTTGCTGAAGGCAGCTGTCATTTTTAAAACACCAGCTGGACTGTAATTAAGATTTAAGCTACATAGAAGGTAGTCAGGATGTTCGTCAGTAATATCTCTTTGCACAGAATGTCTTATGATGGTGTTTACAGCAGAGTGGGATAAGTACTTCAAGTTGAGGTTTGAGTTCTTTTCATCTGAGAAGTGGAATCTAGAAAACCTACTGGCCCTGCTAATTCAGCATGAGTTTGTGTACCAAGGGTACGAGCTGAAATGGCATCCACTTGTCTTGCTATGAAAGTTATTGCTGTGATGTGTTGAGTGGCATCACTTAATTGTATGTTGTCTTATTAGGTGTGCTGAACATGCTGCTGACAATGCTGAATGTGTTGCTGATGATACTGCCTGTCTCCAAGACCCCTTACGTGGAAGAATTTTAGGGGTTGCTGTGCAGATCAATGGACGTGGACCCCTATGCCAGCATGCAGGTTGGGATGCGGGTAGTTCGTGGGGTGGACTGGAAGTGGGGCAGCCAGGACAGCGGTGAAGGGAATGTTGGGACTGTCGTTGAGATTGGTCGGACAGGCAGCCCAACCACTCCAGATAAGACTGTGGTCGTGCAGTGGGATCAAGGCAACAGAACCAATTATCGGACTGGATTCCAAGGGGCTTACGACCTTCTTCTGTATGATAACGCACAAATAGGTAAGTATAGCATGGACAAGAAGCACAAACACTAGCGCTGTAAACCCATCTCCTTTAGTATACGTAACGCCTGCCTCACATGCTAGCTGGAGTGTTAAGCCTTTTGCAACTACCTGTGGACTCATGTTGAGCAGCAGTGTACGCTCAGCCAATTCATGGCAATGAAATTCCTGTTTTTCTCTATGCAAAGGCTTTTCTTTCCTCTTTCTCTTTTATCTGTGGGTCTAACGGTTTTGATGACTTTGTCATTCTGCTAGATTCTGGCATGACTTTTAGGATGAGAGTCCCTTAAGCCAGGAAATGGATACTTCACATATCACTTCGTATTATATTATTGCATCATCTTCAATACACACACAGTATGTGATTTTTCTCTTTAAAACATGCTGATGTAGTTCTAAAAGCCTGGTCAGCCTGGTTTCTCTGGATTTTGTGTGGATCTTATATTCCTTTGCTTTTGTTCTCCTAGGTGTCCGTCACCCTAACATCATCTGTGACTGTTGCAAGAAGCATGGTATACGGGGAATGCGGTGGAAATGCAAAATGTGTTTTGACTATGACTTGTGCACACAGTGTTACATGAACAACAAGCATGATCTGTCTCACTCCTTCGAGCGCTATGAGACGGCACACTCACAACCGTAAGTGGTGCTATAGGGGAAGTCCAGGTAACCATGTTGAGATTTATAGGTCACTATTCTATAGCAGTGGTCTCCAAAATGGGGTGTGTGCGCCCCAGGGGGTGTGCAAGATGATCTATTGAGGTGCAGGAATAAAATAATAGAACTTCAGTAGTACATGTCTGTATAATTTATAAAGAAATAAATGTACATATATTGGGGGGTGCTCAAAATTTTTTTACCGGTAGGGTTGCACGATCAAAAAATTTTGAGGACTGCTGTTCTATAGAATAGCGTAAGGCTGGATCTGGCACTTTTATGGAGCTGCTTGAAAAAAGACAGCAAACAGAAATCAGCAGAATTTTTCTGAAAAATTAAATTAAGGTGAAAATTCAAAGTGTTTGTATGCTCTGGTTTTTCTTTTCCTCCCCCCCAATTAAATAATTTCATAGACATGCTTTGCTATTTGTTGTTCTCAGATAACTGAGTGGCCACAGAGAGGCTGATAGGAATCTCGCACTCCCAAATTGTTGATTTCTTCTCAGGGTGTATACTGTTCACTGAAGAACAACACCTTCTCATTTACTCTGTACTCTGCCTCTGCACATTAGCATTATTGAAAGTGACTTCTACACTGATGGCTGTGGAACAGTATCCATAATTTTATGCTCATTCATGATGTGCCAAAACATGGAGGTCTGTTCTCTTGTCCTGAGGAGGAACTGAAAAATAGCCTCAACAATAATTTCATTTGCGCCTCCTAAGGTGGGCATGAAGATGAATCTTGTAATCCTCTGGCCTTTAGGAAAAGTAATAGGAAATCAGCTCTTGTCTCTGCCATTGATTTTCTTTTTTTTTTTTTTCCCCTCCCCTTGAAAATATTGTGCGTTGCATCCGTCTGTGGAATGAAAAGTGTAATTACTTTGCTAAAGACAGTGGTGTAGGATTTGCAGCTGTTCTTCCTCCCATATGGGAAGCTCTTTCTGGAGTTGATTACCATAGTTTTGCCAGTGTGGCTGAGCCAGAATTCTGAGTGCTAGCAAAGGAATAGATGTTGCTGTCCAAAGATGTCCCCTCTGAGCTTTGAGGCTTGTGTTTATCCACCAGATTAGGATGTTTCTTGAGCTTGTGTTAATATGGCAAGCCAGCCAGATCCTATTGTGAAATGAGCTTTGTGATTTCATATATATAAAAAAATATACGTATATATAAAAATAGATATTTTTTTTTCTCTCTCTTTCTATGAATATTATAGTTAGCTCCAAGTAGTTACTCAGAGGTGCCTGCTTGTGTCTTTTATTTGAGCTCTAGGTACACTCTGTTGTTAAGGTACATAATCTTCCTCATATTTAAAGAAGAAAAAAAAAAAGCCAGCAACAATTACTGTAAGAGGCTGCACTGTTGCAGAGCAGTCCAAATTTTCTGGCCTTTGCGTGGGTTCTCCAGGGCGCTGCACAGTGCTGCGTTCTCTTGGGCAGCAGGCCAGCTCTGTTGCCTTTCCTCACCCTCATCAGGAACACCCCAAAATGCTATCGTTTATCAGAAGGCAGATTGCTAGGCAATTTCTCCCCAGGACTCTTATCCTCTGCAGAACTTGTTTCCTTTTCTGAGGAATCTGAATGGTGAAAGATGTAAACAGAGCAATTTTTCCTTTCAAGGCTTGTATCTGACCTGTGTCCAGGCTGCCATTTGAATTAGGCAGTAGAGTGCTGCTTGTCAGTGTGAAAAGAGAGCTTGGAAGGACTGCCGGTAAACTTGCCGGACCTAGTACTGTCCTATGTGAGTTGATTGACTTTCACAAAACGCTGCAGCACCACTCTGGAATGTCACCGAAGCGCTAGAGGGCTCTTTGGAGGTAGATGTCCACTAGAGCAGAACTGGATGTCTGATGATGCTTGCCTCTTAGTGGCTTTTTGGTTTGTTTCCTAAAGTCCTTTGCTTTTTTCTGTGAGTGTAGTTCATTCAGTGGTTAGAGAAGATGTGATATAAATTAACTTTTTTTTAGTTGATAAAAAGAAGTCTAGACCATAGGCCAGAGTCTATGATACCAAGTCTTTTGTTAAAGTAGCAGTATTCTGATTTACATTACTATGTGTTAGCAGGAGCGATGATCTTCCTAATACCAGGCAGCTAATTTAAGGAAAAAAAAAAAAAAAAGAAAGAAAAAGGGAGAGTGTGGGTGTGTGTATGTGACATCAGGGACAAAGCATGAGCCTGTCAGATATGGCAATGGTTTCTGGGAGCCTCAATAAGGGGTGAAGGAAGAAGCAGCAGTAGTTGTAATTGGATAATATAACATCCTACCTGCTGTTCCTACGTGGCAGGTATCGAATGTAGCCGTGCTGAGGGATGGAGAGAAATCAGAAATCCGCAATGAAGAAGCTTCCAGTTGTGGAAAGCTGCAATTTTAAAGATGAATGAATGGTACATATTGTGATTCTTAGAAGTCACTAAGCTTTTGGAGAAAACAGGCTGTCAGAAATGCTTTTTGTTTCAGTCATTTGACTGAGTTGGATGGTAGAATACTGTACTATAACTGCAATGCATATGTGTTTTATGCAAGAGCTTTCATACAGGGAGCTGGCAAACACAATTTTACTTACAGATGTCTTGCAGTGCAGAAGCAGGAAGAAGTAGGAACACCTTTGCTTTAATGCAAATGTAATCCTATGATTTGTTGGTCTAGTGTTCTGTAGATTGCTCTGCATTAAGAATGGAATGTTCTGATTAAAAAAAAAAATAAAATAAGTGAAACGAGGGGCAGGGAGGGAGATCACCTTTGAACAATGCCCCAGAGAGGATTTTTTTGGAATAACTGAGGTCTGAGCTGTAAAGACACATTGCCTTAGGCAATGCAGCATCCTTTTCGAAGAACAAAAATTGCATACTTATGACTCACTAGGACTATCGCTTAGATCACTCATCTCAATTTTCTTGCTTAATAAAGTAGAAGAAGAAAATCTTTGGCAGTTCCCCAGGGACCAAAAAAAGCTGTGTATTTAAAAAGACATGGTAACTGCTGTGTGGATTTGGGTTTTCTTGAGGTTTTGTTGCTACCTGCTGTTGTTTGAATGGCTATAAAACACAGGATGAGTCTCCTTTAGAGATCAAGATTCTCTCACCTCCTTTCTCTGGCAGGGAATGGGTATCTTTTGGTTCTTTGCAACGAGCCTCAAGCACAGCAGTGTGTTGCTTTCAAGACCCAGGCAAAGTGCTGTGATGAGCTCCCTGGAGCGTTAACTAGTCAGAAAGCTTGTAAGGGGAGTGGATGGAGAGACAGCCCACCAAATTTGACAGCATCCCATAATCTTGGTTTTGCATAATGAAGGAGGGGCTACTTATATATCGTGATTGTAGTCCTCGGCTCACCATCAGTGAGATCAAATGTAGAACCATGGAATGCAGCTGTATTATGGAGCTGTCACATCAACTGTCTCTTTAACCAAAGATGAAGAGCTGGAAGTTTCCAGTCCCTCCCTGGTCTCCATTCTTAGTCCATCGTGAGAGAGCATCACCATGCATCCAATCTTGCAACTGCTACCATTGCTGATGCTATGAGAGAGGAAGCTAGGGCCTCTAGTAGGACAATTTCAGAGATTGCAGCGTGATGTCCTTGCGCAGCAAATTGCTACCGCCTGCACTGCTGTTGCCAGACCCACCACATGGCACCTGTGCAGCTAAACCGAGGCAAGGCCAGCACAACTCTCTGTAGCAGCTCACTAATCCTAGGATTTAAGAGGCCTTAAGCCCAGACAGATACTGCAGACGGTTCCCAATCAGTTTTCTAAAGAGGCTTTGAAGACGCCTTTACCTGAAGGCTATTTCAGGTCTTAAATGACCTGAGTTTGAACCTCTGGTGGCAGGAAGTACTGATTTTTTTATATTTTGCCATTTGAAGTAATCTCTTCCTGACATCTGCCAATTGCTGGTATTTTTTGTTGGTCTTGTTTGGTTTGAATTTTATGGCTGTTTTGGGAGAGGCTCTCATCCTTAGTTTAAAAGGATGGACAGCTCAGTTTCACTGAAGACCATTTTTTGCAATCTTGTATCCGTTTGCTGAATATATGCTTAGTAATTGGAAGATAAATCAGTGTCTGTAAGCAGGATAGCAAAGCAAAACTCATCAGGTTTATGTTAAGGCTGGAATAGTCAGGCACACTCTGGTGAGTTCTGCAAATAATCAAGTCTGAGATAATCTTCCTTTTATATAAAATAATAGCATTATTACGTTCAAGTGCAAAAGCAGCAATGGCATTTTGCGTGCATCACCTTCTCAGGGATGATGATAAGCTGAATTTCAGTAGGGGATGTGGTGCGTTTTACCCAGGCTATTTTCTAGACTTCACTCACCAATAAATCAAATCTTAACAAATTTTCAAAAGTCCTATTTTTTGCTGGAGAACAATGGAGTTGGAGAAGCCAGCAAACTACACAGGGAAATGTTTTGTGTAGTCAAGCATAAGAAATACAAATATTTTCTCACTTGTGTTTCATACTGTAGTCACAACAGAGTTTGCAGTTATTTTCAGCCGTGATTCTTAAACCAGCTCTGTCTAGTCTAGTTACCAGTTGGATTTCTAAATCAGATACATTACAAGAACAAGTGTATGCTATCATTTAGGTACGCATGTGCGATGCAGACCCATTCAAGGCAGCTTTAATAATCCAGCCTTCCATCTGTGACTGCTTATACTGTAAGCCTGAACTAATATAGCAGCTGAGTGACAACTGCTGGGCGTTTGATTACTGGGCAATAAAGGGGGTCCAGGTTTATTTACTGTAGTAACCTCTTCAACATGTGTTATTTACGCAATGTCAGTTTAAGCTGCTAGACTAAGAAATTTTGGTGAGTAACATTTTGAATCGAATCTGACTCTTGTGTGATGATGTTTGTTTCCGAACTTTTTAAAATGCTCCTTAAGTATTAATGAATTTATTAATATGAATTTGTTTATTAATTTATTCCAGGTTTATTTACTGTAGTAACCTCTTCAACATGTGTTATTTACGCAATGTCAGTTTAAGCTGCTAGACTAAGAAATTTTGGTGAGTAACATTTTGAATCGAATCTGACTCTTGTGTGATGATGTTTGTTTCCGAACTTTTTAAAATGCTCCTTAAGTATTAATGAATTTATTAATATGAATTTGTTTATTAATTTATTCTTTTAATAAATGAGTATAATTTTACTTTTAAAAACCCCCATGATTTACCAGATAAACTACCTAACTGTACCTCCTTAAAAAAACATGTACATTGCAGAACACTAGGGCATATCCCCACATTAGGGCTTCCCTTACTTAGTTTGGAGTATTCTGTTTGATTTGTGGAATAGGGATTAAATTTCCATGACGTATTTTATCTTTATCTTTTCTGGAATTACATGATCAAAACTGTAAGCAAGAGAAATCTTCACTAAAACATCCTTAGCCTGTGTTTTGAACTAATAGTCATGTTTAAAGGATGGTAACGAGACATTTCACTTCGTGTGCTCACCAGTGCTTCTGTATCATTCTCAGGACAATATTCTGCCATTAAAGGCTGTGTATAGACATCTCGGAGAGCGTAGTTGAGAAAACCTTCTGTCTGCAGTACAGTGTTGAGTCTTAGGTGCGCACACACATTTTAGTTCACATTTAGTAGCCTTGGTCTGAAATCTTGCCCACTGTGGCTTTCCAAAACTGAGTCTGATACGAGTTAGCCTTGGAGGTTAGCAAAAAAGACAGCAAGCATTTAGCCCAACTCAGACCTTGCCGTCTGAGTTATAAACACACAGCTGGTTTTGTGAAGAACTGTGTCTTGGCAAGGAAGGATAGGATTGACAATGGAAATTCTTGGTAAAGACAGTTCCTGAAATAGGTTTCTGTGATCCTGATCCCTCACTTACTAGCGTCCTTGTCTTAGTCTGGTTCATGCTTGAGCAATCGGCATCCGCCTGCCATCTGTCAGAATTTTGTTCCTTTATCCTTTGCTGGAAGTGCTTCAGTAAAAGCTTTGCTAGGGAGGACTAGAGAATCCAGAATTTCTTGCATTATTGAGGTCGGTTTTACCTGTAGTTTCTGTAAGATCTTTGTGTTGGCTTTTCTTGAGGTAGCCTGTGTAGGTCTTTATCCATCCTAGAAGGAGCGTGGGTTTGTACCCACCATGAGCTGAGTTTACAGCTCTAGTTTACAGCTGTGCCTTTCTGAAGAGATTAACACGATATTTATGGCCTGCTACTTTGCAGGGTGACCATCCCTTCTGCTTTCTCGTCCCATGCATTGTGCTTGTTTCTTCAAATAAGAATTATCTGCAGTGGAGAAGTCTCTGTGTTGCAAAATATGTTAGCTGTGCCTGGTATAAAGGGGCTCTGACTTCGCAGGGCCTCAGATCGCTACTGCAAATTAAAAGCAGTCTCTGTTTCAACTTCTCCAAGTCAGTTGTTCTGGGTCTCAAATCTCTGTCTGTAAAGCATGGATGATGCTATTTTTCTGGCTGTCTGGAGCATGGCTCTCAGTGATGTGAAAGGCTATGTAAGCACCTCGGTGAAATTTGAGCACAGGCAGAATATCCACAGGGGGGTGGTTCCCAGCACGCTGAAGAGAGACATAGCTTCATTCTGTACAGTACATGCTCCCAAGTGTTTTCTGGACTCTTTAGTAATTTAATATCATTGGAGTTTGTAGGGCAGAAATGGCTGCAGACTTTGGCTGTCATAATTAAAATACTTATTAAAGGCAGTATTGCAGTGATTAAATCTATCCCTAGGGTATTTTTGCAACACACTAACACTTTGGTTGTTATCCAGTATTTGGAGCAAAACATGTTGAATTAGATTAAAACCTAAGATGTATTGGCTCAGGACATCTGGTTCTCGCATCATTTTTCAGTGTTTCTGGTCAGCAGTGTGGTTCAAGACAAGGTCAAAATTTTTGTGAGGCCAGGGAAAGAAGGCAGTTATGGTGGGTTGCCTCCAGCATTTAAGTAGAATGGGAGATGGAGCTTCTCACACTTCTTTAAGGAAGCTCAGCTTTCTGAACTGGTCAGCTTTGTTTTCCTGGTCTCTAGCCACAAATTTCACTGAAAGTGACAGGTTAATGTGAGAGCTGTTGAGATGGGAAATGACTGCTGTTATATGATTATATGAAAAGGGAAATTATGCTAGGAATATAATGAATGGTGGTTGTTTTGCTCTTTAAACATCTTGCTTAAGCTTAGCTTGGTGCTTTATTTTACTGTCACTGAGAACCTTTGCATTGAAACTCCTTCCTTGTGAGAGCAGGGTTGGAGGAGCGAAGTATATTTTTATCACTTTGTCTCAGGGCTTGACTAAGACATCTTTGATAAATTGTTAGAAAAGCATTCAACAATATACAGTCAAAATAGCATGTTGTAGCTGTTTCAGATGTAGTATACAAATCCATGCTGGTTTTTGAAGCCAGTCTATAGTGCATGGCACAGTGCAATAAAGTGAATGCTGATCAGTGTTTCTTTTTAGCAGAGCTTTTTCCTAGCCCTCTTTCATTATCTTCTCGTTCATAACAATTGCCAGCCTTGATGATGTTTAAAACAGACAAGATCTCAACCATTCAAAAAATGGTCTTCATCTTCCTTCTGTTGAGCTACAATCTAGATAATGAGAATTCAGTGATTATAAGAACATGTGTAAATAATCTCTCCCTCTTTTTAAACACATTAGGTTGTAAAGCACAGGTGGGAGAGCTGTTAACAGGTTAAGAAAAGTAAAAGACTTAGGCTTTTGATGGATAAGTAAACAGTAAGTTCAAGCATAAGCTTTTTATCCTTCTGAGTCTCCACCTTCTCTCTCTAGGTATTAGATGGCAAATAAATACAGCATTCTCAGGTCAGCCCTACCCCCAGTAGGCTTCCCCTCCCCTTCCCCTGTGAAACAGCTGCTGAACTTGGTTTTGCTCTGTCTGGTCTGGGAGTTGCCAAGAGCCTGGCAGGAGGAGGTGTGCAATTACAGCTATGGATTGTGGCACCTTTGCAGTCACCTAGAAAAGTGGATTGTAGCCTGGGGGAGCAGCACTAACAGGTCATAAGGACTTTGGTGGCTTGGTATCTCATGAGAAAGCTTTCTGCTAGGGAACAGAGACTAGGAACGGCACGCGCAAAAACAGCAGAGAAGCTGCTGTAACATTATGGGAATTGGAAGCTGCTTTAACAGAACATCAGACCCCCTGTTTACTATCACGTAGGTATTTTTTTTTTTCCTTAAGATGGATCGGTGTGTATGCCTGTGATGCGGATTGCAGGGCAGATAGAAAGGTCTGTGTTATCCTGGAAACAGTCTAGCCACAGCACTGCTGGTCTAATCTGCTCTGCTTTTCAGCAAGTGAACTAGGCTGTGCAGTCTGCAGCTTCAGTAATGAAATGTGCTGAAACTCCTTGTGACTTTGAGGTAGGAGACTGCCTGAGCCTTTAATGCTTTCATGCGGTATACACCTTAGTAACATCCCTAAGCATTGCCTTAAACTTAACGGTGGGATACAAGGGCAGCTGGAAGTCAGTCTCACCCTCCCCCTGAAGTGATGGCAGACTTTCTGGAGAAGTTACTAACCTTCTCCTTACTCCTCTCTTTTTTCCTCCTCCTCTCAGAGGCTCCGTCTTAAAGATATATTTTAATTGTGTGAGACTTACATTAGTTGACTTGGGTGTTCTCCTTTGGGAAGCGTGTGGATTGTAAGTGGCACAGCTGGCAATGAAAACTAACATGCCCTCCTGCTATGATGTTTAGAATTGCTTGATATTTGTAGCAGGGCTTCTGCTCAGTGTAGGCAATGGGGTGAAGTTGCTAAATCCAGATTTTGATGACTTTGGTTTGCAGATGTTGTACCTTATGCTGTAGAGTGCTGGTAAATAGTTATGTTAAAAAGTATTAATTTGCATGCATTCACAGTAATCATACTTGGCCCTCAGTGAGCTGCCTTGCCCTGATACAATTTGTGGTTTGTGCATGTCATAGAACATGTGGGAAATTTTTTCTTCTTTGGAGCTACTAGATTTTATTTTTGCCCTACACAGCCCCCTCAAGGCTCTTGAAGTTCTGAAAGAAGGATAATTTTTTTTTTTTCCCTTCACGGCTAAGCATGCTGTGTGCGAGTGAGTGAATGTAATAATTTTGAAGCTTTGTGTTTACATATGTTCAACTTCCTGAGTCAGCAAGATGCCATTCTGGTGTTTAACAACATGGGAGGGAGACCCTGCCACAGTCCTGCTGCTTGTGTGTAGATATGTGTTTGTCTCCCCAGACTGTCACTGAAGTGTGCCTGTTCCTCATGCTCACAAAGCAGCCTCTATTCCCAATTATCTGCATCCCACAGTTGAGAGAAACACAGAACTTTTTTAAAGCTCACCATAGATCTCACCATTTTTGATAATGTTTGAAGATAAACCTGGGTCTTCTTTAGCCCAGTGTATTATTCACTAGTTGTCTTTCTGCAGTCAGTGGAACAGTGCCTAAGTATTCTGACCTTCCTGGGGAGACCAGCTTTTAGGATCAAAGACCCTGTTCAGCTATTTTATTGTTTGTTTTCACTTCTTGCATGCCCTTCAGAACTCAAGCCGTGTTTTTCTGTATGTAAGTGTGGTACACTTGGTCCTCATATGACAGACCTCAGTTGGATCAGAGCTTTATAAAGTGTGAAATAGTAACAATGAATTAATTTGTTTTCTCTTATTTTGTTTTTCCAGAGTCCTGGTGAGTCCTCGACAGAATTTGACTCGCATCACGTTAAAAGGGACTTTCCAGGGGGCTAAAGTAGTCCGTGGCCCCGACTGGGAGTGGGGTAACCAGGATGGTAAGCTGCTTTTGAGATGTCTTGTAAAACATCATTCAATAAGCTGCTTTTGAGATGTCTTGTAAAACACCATTCAATTCTTTTTTCTTTTTTTTTTTTCCTTTTTGCCAAATTACTAGTTGAAAATGCACATGCTGAGCAGTAGCTTCTAGGGGAGCTGTTCAGATGTTGCAGGTTGCTGTTCTTTAGAGTATTAAATATTACTTGTTTTCTTGTATTTGTTTAAAAATATATCTGTGACATAAACTGTATGCATTCATTCAGGGTGTGGGAGGGAAGTTTTGCTGCTCCTATTTCATAGATGTGAAAACTCATGGGAATCGTTCTGGAAGATCTTTTATAGAACTATAAATATACACCATGTTACAAGAAAATAAAGACCCGTCTTTTCCTGAAAAAGCTTCCATTCACAGTGGGAATAAGGTTTGTCTGACTTTGTGTACAATACTACTTTTTCCTTTGGAGTTCTTTGGAATAGCCTTATTTGGACACTTTTAAGAACAGTGAAGAGAAATGATCGATAAGGAGTGTTTCACATGGAGCATTAATGAAGAACTGTTTGCTGTGGTTGCTGGAGAACGGTTTCTGCTTTCTGTATGAATTGTAACTTCAGGCTGAAAATGCAGAGGGACCAAAATGCCTCTTCTAGAGTTGCTCTTGGGGTATAATGACTGTGTCTAATTCACTGATACCAATTTCTGTGTAGTGCTATGGGGTTAAGGAAACTTTACTGTCTGTTTCTATTCCAGAGTCTTGTACACACTGTAATGTTTACAGCTTCTTTTTTCCCTTAATATTTAAGGTGTAAGTCCAAAGGTTTCCAGTGTTGACTCCACCATTTCTTGCAGCTCTGGGTTCAGTGGAGGACATGGAAACTTGCAGGGTCTGAGAGCAAAAGAAGCTTATGCTCAGTATAGCTTATCTGTCCTTTTGAGATCAGATCAACATTTACATGTCTGAGACTCGTGTTGCTTACGATGATTGTGACCTGAAAGAAGTTATATGTGCAAGACAAGTGAGAAGAAATATAAGGTGCTTGGCCTTGTGACCAGCCACTCAGCTGGTCTTTAATGAGTACTGCCTTGTCTTTGATGGACCTGCCCCCATCCACAGTCTTTTGCTCTTCTGAACTTAGCTTCCTGGTAGCGCTAACACATCAATGCTATTTCCATTTGAGGAGGTAACATATAAGTAGCGGTAATAAAAAACCTTGGAAACTCTGTAATAGGGTCCTGGTAAGTTTATGTATTGATCATGTGGTCTCGTGTGTCTGGTAAGGGCAATAGCAGCTAGTTGAGAAATCTGATCAAATGGTCTTGCTTTTATTTGCCTGTGTCTTTTTAGCATTCCTTCTGCCTGAGCCCTTTGCGGAAATTAACATTGACTGCAAAATTTGCCCATTGACCAGACTTTTTTCTCTGCTGTGGTCAGGGTGGACCCTGGCAGCTCTTCAGTCACTTCAACCTTGTCATTGAATACATATTTTTCCTTACTACCTTTTCTCAGAGTCCAAACACCATGAAGTGGAAGGTAGTGCCCTCCTCAGAGAAAAGCATCTGAACAGGGCGAAGGCAGAGATTACTTTTTGTTGCTGTTGTTCAGTCTGAATCCCTGCTGCAGCAGACAAACATTAAGTTCTTTTGTCACTGGTGCTGTTTCTGTCAGCACTAATTCGAGGCCAGTGATACCTACCAGGTTTCTTACAGACTGAAGGAGCGGGGAGAGGACAGCAATCTGCTACAGCCTGTTCATGTTAATAATATAGTCAAAGACGCACAGTGTTGCTGCGAGATCACTGTTTTCCCATACTTGAACATTGGTACCACCCAGAGGCTCTTCTTTCCTGTGGTCAGTAACTGCATATTGGATGTAACCTTCATTTCTAAGAGCTGTCATCCTGATTAATTTTGGACTGGACAGTTGTTTATGGTTATCTACAGAAAGGAAGATGAAAATTACTGTTAGCTGCCCTATTGCTAGGATCTGGATTCTAACCTGGAAGGCTTTTTTAGGCATAGCTGTGCAGGTTATATCACAGAATAGCTTTTGGTAACTTAAATTGTATTTTTGTGGATAATATTCATGTGGGTGGATATCTGGAGTGCTGATCTGGTAACTGGCTGCAGTGTGAATTGTGTGCAGAACTGGGATCCACCTGCCATTTCTAGGGAGAGATCTTACAGGCAGATAGGATTTTAAAAATATTTTTCTTCTAGTAAAAATCAAGAGGTATTGGGACTTTCTGATTCTCAGATCAGTCCTCTAAAAGTGTGTTCTTGTCATTGATAGAACTGACAAGAAAGCCCACTGGTTTGTCTGTATTATGCTTTTTAGATAGATATGCAGTTTGATGAGGAAGTTAACTCCTTTAAGCTGTTAAATTCCAAGACTTTGCAGGCAATTAGAAGCTCAGTGTGCACCCAGTGAGACAGACAGACGTTGCTGTCCTCGTTTGGGAAAGCACTAGACCAGTGCTGGGACTTGCTGAGGTTCACACAGGGACTTGGCAGCAGAGTGAGGTAGGGAATCTGCAAATTCTGACTGCCTGTCACTAGGTTTGATGTTGATAGACTGTTGTCTCTTGCGTGAGAGTATGTCCCATGTGCCCAGCCAGATTTACCTTCTCACAAATATATCCTCCTGTTCTGGATTGTTTCAGTAGTACTCCTCCTTGCTTGGGCAGGTGAAGAGAAGTACCAGAACAAACTTTACTTGATGTTCCTCCACCTGGCCGGTGTTGGGGAGAGATTAAAGGTCTTGGGTGGATTTTACAATGCTGCTGTGTTTTTATCTTGCCACAGTGTGGTGCCATGACACTGTGCGTTGCCTAGCTAGGCAGTATTTCCGTACACCAGGAGGAACGGCTTCTACACAGAATTCAGCTTTTCCATATTTGTATTCCAAAGTAAATGGCTGGTTGGCTTTCAGTGAGTTTAATGTAGAGATTCTCTCCTAGTTGGTCAAACTGAGCTGTCTCATGGTTTAATTTCCCTAATTAAAAAGGTGACTGTGATCTCTTGCGCCTTCTGCAGATCAAGGTGAATCATGCAAGCTGTGAGGAATTTGTATGAGCTGCCGAATAATTTTTTTTTTTTTTTTGGTGCGATTTCCTTCTTTCGTGTATATGAAGAACACTTGACTGGAGGGCACTGCTTCAGGCAGCAGTATGCTGTCAGTGAAGCAGACCTGTGTGCTTTCTGTTCAACAGGTAGAGCTGGACTATGATAGGACCCCACAGAAATCCCTTCTGGCAGCAACCTCTCTGTCAGAATTTCACCTGCCCCCAGCTATTGACTTTTGGCTCTGTGCTTACTCCTCTGTGGTGAATAGTTGGAGAAATGACAAGTTTTTTCCTTGTTTTTTACTTAGTTAAGATAAAAATGTCATTAAATTATATCTCAGTAAACATCCCAGGTGAGTTTCTGTATATTGGTCTCAGTGAAAATGTAAGCTGGACACTTTTCTCCCCTCTTTTTCCATCAGGTGGTGAAGGTAAAACTGGACGTGTGGTTGATATTCGTGGCTGGGATGTAGAGACCGGACGCAGTGTGGCCAGCGTCACCTGGTCTGATGGTACCACGAATGTCTACAGAGTTGGGCACAAGGGAAAAGTGGACCTGAAATGTACTGTGGAGGCATCTGGTGGCTTTTACTACAAAGAGCATCTCCCAAAATTAGGTGTGTAGAGACAAGTCTTCTGTTGAGAAATTCTGATTCATGCTGCCATTTCCTGACGCTAAAGCCATTTTGCTTGGAAGACAGAAAATCAGTAGGTGGTTTTATAAAGTTCCCACATAATGTGTACCATTTTAAAAAAGTGGTTTTGTGTGCACGTATTGCTTTATTTCAGAGTGGTTAGTAAAGTAGTTTGGCCTTTCAGTGGTAAGATTGTGTAAGACCACCAGATGCCCGCAGCTGTATCCCAAGGAGGGATCTTCTGCCAAGGCAACTTCTTGCTGCTCCCTTGGGAGTGCCTGCATCTGTCAGCAGAGAATTCAACCCAGTGTCAGTTTTGTTAATCCAAAGTTTTTCATTCTTCAGGCAAGCAGTGGTCCAGCTGGTGTTCACTGTGCTTTTAGAGGAGCAAATATTATTGTTCTGGTGGACCAAAAAGTATGTTGAAGGGGATTGTGACAAAAGGGAGATTTCTGAGAATGGAGCTGCCAAATACTTGCCCAGCAGGGAGATTAGAAAAAGTCATGGAAAAAGGTGATGTCTATATTGGCAGCTTGCTGCAATCCACCTTTCCTCCTAACTCTGATGAAACCAAATAAACTACTTGTGGTTTTGGACATGCAGCATTTAGGGGTAATTTAGTTGTATATTTTTTTAATGAGGTGCAGGGGCCATCTTTTGCTCCCCTGAAGGAAAACAGAGGTCTGTTCTTGAGTTTGCAGCAGCAGAATCAGGTCTTTCTCATTCTTTTCTCTCCCTGAGCAGCTTGGCAAGAGCATGAGGGAAAGGAAGGGTTGGATGGGGAGCTTATTTCCAGGGGTACGGCCTCTCGCTGCACAGGAAGGCTAGGAGAGTAAAGCACTCCACAAAGCAAGCTATGTGGCTGCCTATGGAAGAGAATTTATTTTGAGTACTGTGTAGGTGTGTCTGCTGAACAACAGTTGTGGGTGACTGAATTGCTAAGAACAGCAACTGATGTCTGACATGAGATGAGAGGCATCATTCAAAGGCATTCCCCTCTCTGGGAAGGGACAAAATTGTGTCTTGTTAGAACTACCTCATGTTTAACCCATATCAATATCCAGTTAGAGCTAAATCCTCTTGATCTCTCTACATAGTGCTGCCCCATAGAGTGTGTAGGGCATACTCCACAATGGAAAAAGGGTTTTACACCGTTCTGCCCCAGTTAAGCCCATGTTAATTTGCAACCCTTGTTACAAAGCCAAATGAGACACAAAGCATGTTATTGGATCCTTCATGTATGTGGGTGGTGTCATTCTTCTCTTTAGGAAAACCAGCTGAACTGCAGAGGAAAGAAAGCACGGACAGGCATCCGTTCCAGCATGGGGACAAAGTGAAATGCCTGCTGGACATTGACATCTTGCGGGAGATGCAGGAGGGCCACGGTGGCTGGAATCCTAAAATGGCTGAGGTATGCTTCTGCTTGCTCCTATTCTCTTGGTAACGTATCAGTCACTATCTCAGACTACATAAGTAGGCACTGGCTAGGAAGTTAGCAGAACGTCCTGTGTAACATGTTATCCTTCTATATTTATATTGTGTTGACTGAATCACAAATACAAATTCTTTAATGATAGGACACTGGAGTCAGATTTATTTTAGGCTCAGATAAATCTGTGTTGTATGAGAATTGCCTTGTGGAGCCCTGCATAATTTCTAAGACTCTACGATGGGTCAAAAGAGTTGCTCAAAAGTCTTGGAAGCCAGCGCAAAAAACTAATGGCTGGGTTGTTTGTTTTTAAATGAGCCCTGGATCTTTTCCTTGGAGTTCTGGATCCATTCCCTGTTTGGCTTCTTTTGTACTGTGCATTACTACTAATGAAAGTTATGTGTTTTGTCAACAGTGGGCTCTATCCCTGGCCAGGGCTAAAATTTCTCGGCCCATATGATGTTCTTGGAGCTTAGCCTGTTGTCTTTAGTTTGAAGAGCTATCAGTCTGCTGTCACCTGTTGTCTAAAAAAAACTCAGTAGAGGAAGTAAAGATAGAAATGACACCTGTTACTGTAGTATAGCGTCTCAGGGGGCCACGGTGGAAGTAAGTCTCCAGGGGGTTGTGAACATTTAGTGTGGGCTTACATTCAGACGAAATGATAACAGCTAAATGAATAAATTTGTAATTTAAATTAAAAAGTCTGTGCTTTTTGTTTCTCCTTAAGTCAACTTTCTTGGCTTTTAATAGTCTACAGATATTGCCCAAAATAGATTACCTTACCTTCACATATTGAAGAAGGCATTACTGCTGTTGCGCAGTAGATTTACTGCAAGACAAAATCACATTTTGATACTCGCCATTGCAGTAATAAGACCTGTCTCTGAGCCTGTATTAGTAACTTGTATAAAAGTGGCGTTTTGGAGAGGGAGGGAAGTGTATAGCCACAAATGACCCAAATGTCTGCTACACTTGAGTCAGTAAACTGAATAACCTGCAGGTCTGATTCTGAGACAGCTGTCTGAAGCCTTGGTATATGAAGCAGCGCTATAAAATTAAAAAGATACATTATATATGTATCCTAGCCCAACCTGCCCTGTAGGTGAGCAGTCTTTTTGAAATCAGACTTTAAAATGTCAAGACAAACTATGTCATTTCAGTTTCAATGTGGAAATCTATTAACTGATCATCGGTCTCTTTTTTTAGCCTGGCAGGCAGGGACTTACCGTCTTCTGGCATGAACTTGAAGAAGGCTGTCAGTGGGGCCATGAATTTTTTATTCCAGCTAAGGCCTTCGTCCCCAAAGCTATAGTTTTTGAATGTTGCTGTGTAGCTAACATAGTCTGCTAGGTTGTTAAGGCTCTGCACTTTGGAATTCCTGCTGTTGGTGAATGCAGGTGTAGAGAGGGATATTAAACAGAAACAGTAACTTCCTCTCATCTCAGAAATCGGTGCTTTTTGTCGTCTTCAAAACTATCAGCTGCTCAGGACCTGCCAGAATCAACAGATATAGAATACTGCACTACAGAACTATACTTTGTTTTCTGTAGGCTCCTCTAACATGCCCCCTTGTTTTTTCTCTCAGAGCATGCCTTGCTGGTATTATACTGCAGAACAGTGTTGTAATCTCTGCCCACCTTCGTCATTTGGAAAGAGGAGGACAATTTGTACTGCATTTTCAAGGATTTTCACACTTTATACTCCTATCACCCTCCTCCCCCAATATGCTGCTACTTTAGAGGAGCTTCTTAAGCAGCGTTTCCCTCCTTTTGCAGACAAACAATGACTGCATCTCATTTAAAGCAGGTTTGGGAGCACTGTTAGTCTGTGAATTGGAAATGGTGGGTAATTTAGCCATCTATGCCTTGGATGCCTGCTTTCCTCACTATTAAGCAATGTGATTTATTTAGGGGGTTTCCCCTACTTTTTTTTTTCCCTCTATCAAAAGTTCATTGGCCAGACAGGGACTGTGCACAGAATCACGGACAGAGGGGACGTGAGGGTGCAGTTCAACAGTGAAACCCGCTGGACTTTCCATCCTGGAGCTCTGACTAAGGTAGGTGCTGATAGGTGAGCTTGGCCAGAACTAGCAACGCTGCAGGGAATAGCTGTCAATTTAGCCTGCTGTGTCAGGACACAATGTGTCTCAAGCAAGTGCCAAAGAAATACACTGCTATTCTAAAAGCAGTAGTTCTAGGCAGAATTTCCTGCAAGCCATTGGAGCTAAGACATGGTTGCAGACAGTGGGAATTGGGCTACTAGGCTGTCCAGTTTTGTGAACATTTGCATTTCAAATGTTGTAAGTTCTTAAGGTAAATTCCATTTCTTAATTTCAGCTTCTTTGATAAGAGTGGTAACAGTAGACCTACAGTACCTCATCCTTCTGCAGCTGCCTTTCATCTGTGATGAACCTTCTTCCACATCATTTCCATTTGATTTTGTTTTCTTCCTTGTTCTTGTGTCTTCATATTATTCTCCTTTTTGCATCTTTTTTTTGTCTCGCTTGTCTCCAATTCTTCTGGATGATCTGAGTCTGTAATCCAGCTCTTCTAATTTTGTGTCTGTATTTCTGAAGCTCATAGCTCTGGCCTTCCCCAGAGGTTTGAGGACTTGAAACGTGGATGATTAGAAACAGGGCTAATAGATGTAGAAGGAGCTGCTGGAAGACTACAAAATTCTGAAAGACCTGAACAAGGTCACAATGCTAAAAACTCCAATACCAATGGAAAATGCAGCGTCAGACTGTTTTGCGCAGAATTAGTCTACTTTGAAAAGTGTGTTTTGACAGTGCTCCCTTCTTAGCTCAGTGAGCAGAGGGAGCATCTGGCAAATTACCAGTACAGATAAAATCTAGTTTCCCTTTTCTGTTTTAAATAACAAACAGATTTAAATTCCTTATTAAAGTGAATTAAAATCTCCAGTGCCAAGTCAGGTATAGTGAGGAGGTGGACCAAGGAAAGTTCCATATGTACTTTATACTGGTATTAATTATAGATGCTTTGAAGAAGAAAGAAAAGAAGAAAAATGTTGGGTCCCGAATTATTTCCCTACTTAAATGTGCACTTGGCTTAAAACAGAAATACCCCAACCCTTGGACTATGTTTAATTTGCAGTGCAGTGATTACAGATTTCTTGGTAGTCGTACTTATGTTTTGTAACGCCTTGTTTTTTGAGTCAATGGGCTTCTTGTTTGGTTGGGTTTTGTGGGGGTGGGGTGGAGGGGCTGATCGCTTTTTTTTTTCCCCTGGCTTCGTCCCCCAAAAGCTTATGACTTTCTTTTTCTTGTAGCTCAACACCTTTTGGGTTGGTGATGTTGTCCGAGTGATAGATGATATGGAAACAGTGAAGCGATTCCAACCTGGTCATGGGGAGTGGACAGATGAAATGGCACCTGTGAGTGCGCGCCAGTTCCAGGACAGTCCAGTAACCTCCTGAGTTTTCCCAAGCAATTAGTAATAGCGACTGGGCTTGCATTGCCCTCCAGTATTCCTGCTGGTCAGTGAGTGCACAGACCTTTCCGGGACTGCTGAGGCCTTGCAAAATAAATGTTGCCTAGTGCTATTGGCTATCGGTAATACAATCCTATTGCAGCACCCAAAGCAAATGGAGACATGGGGAATCTGACAAAGGATTTGGCTACCAGTAAGTCAGATAAGAGGTTTCACTAACCAAAGTAAACAAGTCCTCTTACGCCCTCCCTAATTCTCTGGAACGAGGCAGGAAAGTGTCCAAGTGGAAAAATGGTCTGATCAGAGCAGAATACAAGTGTCCTCCAGGAGCAATTAAATGCACAGAGGAAACCTTTCCTAGTCCCAATTTTATCCGTTCTCTCAGGGTTCTTCAGACCATGTTTTGTTGTTTCACCACCTTCCTCTCCAGACATTTGTAATGTGTCTGGGAAACCCTTCTTATGTAAAACCAGTAAAGGAGAAACTGCTGAGAACCCTCTGGTGTCCTTGAAGTGGGAGCTGTCTGCGAATGTGTCACTGTTCAGTGCTTCTTTTCACACAGCAGGAGTGCCGCCTGCGAAACCACTCTTAGAAGCATTGCATTGGTTCTGAGATGCAAAGCATACTGCGTCTTACCTTTTAAAAATAATTTCTCTCTTTCCGTTGCAGACCCTGGGGCACATCGGCAAAGTGATCAAAGTCTATGGGGATGGAGATTTGCGAGTGTCGGTTGGAGGGCAGTCCTGGACGTTTAACCCAGCTTGCCTGACAGCCTATCAGAGAGATGAGGAAGCAAACCTCATGACAACGGAGAATGCAAAGGAATCAAAAAGTGAGACAGTGAGAACAGAGATGTCTGATCTGTCAGGGATTGTGAAATGGTTGCTCTGGTGTAACAACAGCAACACTCCTTGGACAGTGTTAAGCTCCAGCTGCCTGTTCTTCCCCGGACAGAGCTCCAAAACCAAGCTGTGCCTTACTGGGGAAGCAAAGCTGGCCTTAACAGGAAAATACAGAATTTAGGACTCAGGAATGCTAACCATAGCACTGTCCTAGGTTCAGTATTTGCTTCTGCCTTGTTCTGTTTCAATTTCCTGTTCCGTCCTGTTGCGTTTCCTTTAGGAGGATACTAATTCTTGAATGCTTGTGAAATATTCCCAGGTCCTTGTGTGGAAGTGTTGTCAAATCAATGATTATTTTGCCCAGTCCACCCCGAAATTGAATCTGGGATCACATGATGTGTAGAGGGGATTTTGTCTGTTTTGCACATCTGCTCATAAAATTTTTTGGTAGTCTCGCCACACATATTTCCTTTAGGTGTTGGGATCATGCGGGAGAGAGGACAGATCTGCTGGGTTTTTTTGTTTTGCTGTGTAGATGGGTGTTAAACTGTTTGCTCAAGTTAGACTTCAGGGAGAACTTGCGTACAGGCCCAAGCTTTTTAACTTTGCTCTGTCTGGAGAACTGTAACACCTCTGTCCTCTCAAGCACTCAAAAGTCTGTAATTAGAGGGCCCATCTGAAAGGACCTGTATTTCTTCCCTAGAGCATCCTTTCCAAAACCATGCATTCCTCTTCAGATTGTTTGCCTTTTAGTAGTGATTTTTCTGTGTTGCTCATCTGTAGCATGGTCTCATGTCTTTTGGGGTCTCAAAACATCAGACTTGTAAAGCAAAAGTTCTGTGTAAGCCATAAATTTGTAAAGCTCTTTGTGTGAGCTAAGTATTAGAGGTACAGCAGGCCCATGCTGTGGTTATACAGCTGTACTATGCCAACTGTACGCATCTATCCACATGCTTAATAGCATGTGAATGCTATTGTTGTGAAATATTCCCCTCTTGGGAATATTTCTTAACCTGTGGCTGTTTCTCATTCCTACCAGGTACTTTGATTACTGTATTGGAGAAACTGCTGTCCCAGAAGACAGAGTCAGAGCATGCAGGCTGCCTGGTCATTTGTGCAGCACTCAACAACGCAGCTAAAGTTCGGGAGCTCATTCAGAAGTACCCAGACAAGGCAAGTTTTGAAGACGTCCTGAATGGTTACTTTTTGTTGCTCTTCTTTAAAATACTGTCATAAAATTTTGTAGTCAAGTGGGGAAAAGGATGGGAGAAAAATAATAGATTTTTCAGACCTATTATTTGCTCCGAACAGCTGGAAAATTATTTTGCTGCAATTTAGGATTAAATTTGTATGTTCAATGTGCATATTTTATGGCTCCAGTTTGTGGCATTAAATCTGAACTAGAGTTAAGTCCTTACAGCACGTTTCCAAAGCTGGCTTTTCCCAGATTTCCTGTATGGACGCTGCATCTGTAGACTTAGGGGCAGAGGTATTTATCTATATGAAAACAGTAGCAAGATGTCCAAGTATCTAGGCTCTGTTTGAAAAGAAAGCCATGGGTTGTGTCTGCCTGAATGTGTCTGTCCTTAGATGACCTTGCGAAATGGTGTTGTTGGAATCAGGAAAGAGAAAAGGTGCCCAGATCCTGGTGCTGTGCACGTCTGTGCAGTGTCTTATCTCATGTCTGACTGGGGCAGGGAACTGGGCTTGACTTGTTGCTGAACAATTTATGTGCTTGCAGAGTGCCAAACTTAGGATCGCAGCTACTCAAAGCACTGCTCTTTCAAGCTGCCTGTTGGAAGGTTCAAGCCCCTTCAGTGAGGGGTACAGGGTTTATAAACAGGTTAAAAAAAGGAGAACCAGAGAACAAAGAATTTCAGCAGTGTCCTTGGAAACTACTGGTAACAAAACCTAAGTTTTGTTGAGGCTATGTCTGCATGGCTGCCAGGAGCAGCTGGATGCATGAACCAGGAAAACTAGGATCAATTCTGAAGGAACCCCTGTGAACCTGATTTAGTGATTAGTTGTCTGGTATTTATTATAGTTCGTTATTTACAAAGTTAATGGGGCCTCTGGAGATGGGAGGAATAGACAAATACCTGCAATTGTCAAATTTATCCCGGATGAGAAAGTGTCAAGAGTCAGGAATCCATTATGTTATTAGTTATTTTTATTAGATTTCTATTTCTATTCTAATATTTATATTAATAAATTAGTTCTTTTTATTATAGTGTTATATACAGCAAAAGGAGGCTGGATTTGAGCCTCACTTAGTATTGCAAGTTGGAATTGCTTGCCAAGGCCTTTCCAGCTTATCAGCATTGTCTGTCTTGTGTAAATGGAAGAATAACACAGTGGCCTCTAATGCCTCCTTGCCTCAATGACTCACCCATCATTTTGAGTGAATCAAGGGAAATCTTGCCTGTCCTGCTCTCCTGACTGCTGCATAGAACCAACTGCAGGAAAAAGACCTTTGTCCTCCTTGCCAGTCTGCTGAGGTTTTGCTAACTCCTTCATCTCTTTTCCTTAGCCTCCCACTGATTTCAGTAGCTTCTTTTCATTTTTTTTTTCTTGCCTTTCATACAGCCTCTCTTTGTTCTTCAGTGCCTTTAATTCTCAAAAAATCTCATTGCAGCACTTCAACACTGTGATATACCCTTCAGCCATTGTGCCCAGTAAAGTCCCTGGAGTAACATAGAACAATGGGCACTTGGCATCTTTAAAGCCTTATGCAAAGCTAATTTGATCTCCTCGCACATTTTTCTATTGGGAAAGGAATTGTTGGCAGAGGTGTCAAGGAGTATTCTGCTTGCAGGCATGGAGGGATTTGGCATCAGAGCTGCAATTAGAGCCCTGGCTTCCAGCCTTGTTCACTCGCTTCTCCCTTCTTGACTAAATGTGCTGTCCCCTTCCCCTTTAGAAATATTCTGGGACAAGCTCAGCTTGTAGTTGATGTACGTAAAGCGAGGCCAACAGGGCACGGGTTCTGATTAGCATTTCTCAGCCTGCAGCTGTTCTGCAGCTAGTGACTTCCATCCTGCTAGGCCTGCTCTAGGACAGAGCTAAGGCCTGAGCGCAAGGCAAGGTCTTTCCTAATCAAGCTGTTTGCTGTGTCTCTGCCCTTCCTGTAGGTCGACGCAAAGAACCAGGGCAGAACTGCCCTGCAGATTGCCTCTTATCAGGGGCATCTGGATGTTGTGAAGATTTTGCTGCAGGCACACGCCACTGTCAACCTAAGGGACGAAGAGGGGGATACAGCACTGCATTACGCAGCTTTTGGGTAGGATATCTTTCTTCTTGCTATCTCTGATACAAGACCTAAAGGGCTGCAAAAGGACATTGCTAGATATAAATGGGCAGTCTGTGCCTGATGGAGGCTTTTACCTTATGTTAGAAATTGGCCCTTGAGCTTCAGGGCCACAGGCGCATTTCTTAATGCACTGATTTAACCTCCACAGCTAAGTCAGTTTCCATGCTAGAAATTCTGGGGGGATCAGAACTAGTGATAAGGAGGTTTTGGTGATTAGATTTTTTTCAGGGTGATGGGAGAGGTGGTTTGGTTGGTTGGGATTAGTTTGGTTGGTTGGTTTCTGTAAGTGCATCTGTTTTCCAGAGCAAGATGAAAGGTTGAGTTGTGTTGTCAGTCACCAGGGAAGAATTCATCATTAAGAACAGGAGATTCCTGTTGATTTAAAGCAAAGAGAGAGCAGATTCTAGAGTACAAATTAAGAAGGTTTCGTTGTGTCGTTTGTTTTTTTTTTAATACTAAGAGGAGGTGGGATGAGGTCGAGGGGATACAAAACCCGAGAAGTTCTGTTGCCTTGCAAGGAGGAAGAATTTACTGTCTCCACAGGATTGAATCTAATCTGTCTTACTCCTTGCTTTTAAATCAGAAACCAAGCTGAGGTTGCCCGTGTGCTTATTGGTAAAGGAGCCAGTGCAGACCTGTTAAACAATGCAAAGTGTACAGCGTTGTATGTCGCTGTCAGTCAAGGATTCACAGAGGTGGTGCGGACCCTCTGTGAGCTCAACTGTGATGTCAACCTCCCAGTAAGTTTTGGGTTTTGTGGGATTTGGGGGGGGAGGGAGGTGTTGGGTTGGGGTTTTTTTGTTTGTTTTTTTTTCAGGTAGGGAGGTGCTTCTTTATGTTTTACTCACACTCTCAGTATGTTTTGGTTTTTGTGGGGTTTGGGGGGGGAGGGGGGTGTTGGGTTGGGGTTTTTTTGTTTGTTTTTTTTTCAGGTAGGGAGGTGCTTCTTTATGTTTTACATCATTTGTTGCTTTGTAGAATTTGAAGGTCGTTCTCTTAAAATGCACTACTGTGCATTGCACGGAGGAAGTATTCCTCTAACTTCAGTAGTCTGAAATTCCAGGTTTGGGTCTGCCCCTCCATCATCATGAGTCTGCTCAGCTCAATCCAGTAGCACTCTTTCTGCTGTGCTGGACTTGGGCTTCCAGTGAGAGCTGACCTGCTGCTAATGTGTGTTGTCGAAACACTCCCGTTTCCAGCAATAAGGAGTGGTGAGATTTTTAAGACTGGCATTTAGGAACCATCCATGATGGTGAATTGGACCCAGCCCATTTTTAGGGTGTGCTTGTATGATGGTGGGACTGGACTGTGCTGGGTCAGTCTCTCAAAGCTAGTTAGGAATGTTAGCGCCTGTCTACTCAGCAGCTTGTTTCAAGCCCTGGGGAAATGGTTTCACAAAGGCTATGAAACCGCTATGGATGCCAGTGATGTTTGGATGTTTGGCCTGGAGTTGATGTGACTTGGTGACGCTACGTATCTTGTTGTCTTGAACTGTCCCTCAGGGTGAGCTGTTTCATTTAACACACTGAGGTAGGTAACCTGTATTCTGCTTTGGTATCCTTGTATAGGATTCCCAGGGAGACACCCCCCTGCATTATGCTATCACTGCAGATTACAAAGTTGTTATTGAGATTCTCACTGAAGTACCCAACATAGACTTTACTGTCCAGAATTGTCAAGGCTTCAACCTGCTCCACTATTCTGCTCTAAAAGGCAACAAGCTGTAAGTGACCTTTTTTCATTTTTACTGCTTCTACAGATGTTAACTCGTGCTTGCTGTCTTAACAGTAAGACGGTAGCAGACGTAGTTCTAGATAGCTAGGAAGGAAATGGTTGGTTATACATTTCTTGGGTTTAGATTTGGCTAGGTATAGCTGTTGCCCTCCTTCCATCCTTCATGCATTCACGGGAAACTGCTGCCTGCTTTCCCCATCCCATCTTTCTCATACCTCCCTAGCTTGGCTAGGAAATCTGTCTGCTTCTGGATAGTCTCCTGAGATGTTTGGGTTCACACATGGAAGGACAGGAGAAGGTCTGTAGTAAACAGTACTTGAAAAGACTGTGTCTAACTGAGAGCCTCTGGAATTCTTCCAAGGGTAAATCTGCTCATTATTTTCGTAGTAGTGTGAGTTTACCCTGCTTTATTAAATGATAACCGAGGGCTTTTGTTTTAGTCTTGTAATTCAATCTGTGAGATAGAGGGAGTGCTCTGCATCACAGGTGCCAGCTCATGGTGCTGCCTATTAAAACATGAACATTCATAACTACAGAGCAGAAGAGACAGGCCTGTCTCTTCTGCATTGTTTTCCTTCCTGATAAAGTAACTCTTCCATCTCTGTTAACCTCCAACACCCTAGAGCCATAAAGAAGATTCTAGCAAGAGCTCGGCAGCTGGTTGACTCCAAAAAGGAAGATGGCTTCACTGCCCTGCACCTTGCTGCTCTCAATAATCACAAAGAAGTGGCAGAAATTCTCATCAAAGAGGTAAGAAACAAAACAAAACCACCACCACCAAAAACTCCCATCTGTCCCACTCCCAGCCTCCCACATTTCCTAAGCACTATTGAGTTAATGCTGGGACTCACAAGAATGTCTCTGTCTCTTTGAAGAGCTGGTATTGTTTGCCAGACTTTGAAGAACAGGCGTTGGCATTCCTGGGGGCATTTTCCTTTGGCAGTAGAGGAGAAGGGTATCTTGCAGGCTAGAACAAAGTGGGTTGGAACTGGAGCTTGCTGGGAAATGTCCAGTGAAGTGTTGGATATGAAGGGAAAAGGCTTCAGAATAGCTGGTAACCTGCTTGTTAAGGAGTGTGTAGATCCGTATTCAGAACCTTCCCTACCTCATAGGTAAGGTCAGAGCTCAGTTTCTCTCACTCCAGGTGTACGCTGAAGCTCCCCAGCTAATGGTTGTTCCATGGCGGGTTTCTCGCTCTTCATTTTCATGAAAGAATATCTGAAGGCATGTATTTCATTTGAATACAGAACAAAACATTTTGACGTGTTTACTCCAGGTTATTTATCTTTCTTCAGTCTTAAGTAAGTGCTAGACCTGCCCCTGTGAACAGCATTCTTTAGCAATGAAAATGACAAACTGAAGGATGGCAATCTAAATGGCATTTTGCTGTTGATTTTAGTGGAGTCAAAGCTAGCCTCTGTCTCTGCTTTCAGGTGATGGTGGCAATGAAGGTGGCAGCTGCATGTCAGCACTCCTGGGTTTTGTTTCTTCATCTCAGTGGTTTGTTACCTGAGTTTCTCCATCTTTACAAGTGGATCCAAACCACTACAACAAGGCTTTAATGGATTTACAAATGAGTGCTGTAGAGGAGTGATGTCTGTGAACGCTAACTACTTAGTACTATGATTGCTTTATTGCTGGCTTAATCGCTGCGTTAGCACAGCCATATCTTTAAAGACTCTGTGTCTCTAACCCTTGCTGCTGCCTTCCCCTGCAGGTTTGGCAGAAGGGCAGAATGATTCAGATTTGAACAGGTTTTTCTCCTCTTTGCTTTGAAGAGGGGAAATCAAAGCGCAACAGGCAGCAAGGAACCAATTTTGCTTTAGAGGAGCTAGTACATGACTGTTTGCGTGGAGTAGTTCCAGGACTTCTTTGTGTCAGGGAAGTGACAAGTTGTCATATCCAAGTCATCACCAGGAAAATGTTATCTGTGTGTCGGTTGGGCACTTGGCTTCCGATCCTCCCTTTCTTGATATTTGAGGTGCGTGGGCCATATGGCTAACATACAGAGGGCTGGATCACGTAGCTCTCTTGGAGATCTCTATACTGCTGTCCTGATGAAGAAGGACTCGAGACTTGGGGCCTCAACAAGCACCACAGCTGCAGCACTCTTCTTCAGCCAAACTCAGCAGCAGCAACTCACTGATGCAATTCTTCTCTTCAAGGGTCGCTGTGATGTCAACCTCAAGAACAACCGTAACCAGACACCGCTGCACCTGGCTGTCATCCAGGGCCATGTAGGGATGGTGCAACTGCTGGTCAGCGAAGGCAGTGATGTCAATGCTGAAGATGAGGACGGGGACACAGCCATGCACATTGCCTTGGAACGGCAGCAGCTAATGTCTGTCATGATGGAGAAGCGTGAAGGGGAGATGGGGTTGTCCCTCCTTTCCAAGGTGAGCTGGGAGTAGGAGAAATTCCAGCACCAAGGGCAGGAAAATGCTTGATGTTAGAATGACAGCAGGTAGTGGGATCTAAGGGGGCAAAGGAAGGCAAGGAAATTGTGTAAAGCCAGTCCAGATGGGGAGTGTGGAAACAAACCTTGCTTGTGGGAAAGCAAGAATAAATCCTCTGAGGCCTCTGAGGGTACGCTTGAATTTATAGCATGAAACTTCACATAGTCAGACAACAATTCATACTGTCTCCCCTGATATTTTTATTAGCATTGTGCGCTTCTTTCTTGACATGGGAAAGGTCATGAATCCAGTTGCAGAGCCAAGAGTCCTGGGTTTAATTCATGCCCCAGAACCACAGCAATTCATTTCTGTCTGATGGCATGGAAAATATGAGGATAGCTAACCACAAACACCCCAGTTATCTGCAGATACAGAGCAGAACGTGAGAGGTGAGATGTATCAGGCTGAAGGATAAAGGCTACGTTGTCACAAAGCCTGAACTGGATTTCACTATGTTGCTCTGTATTCATGGATATATAAGGCCTTTCAGGAAAGGCCTTTGATCTAGAAATCAGTGCGTGATATGCCAAGGACTGGAAGCTTAGTCTGGCTTTTTGGCAAAGATATTAAATTAGCCCTTCCAAGTGTTCTGCCATCCATGTAAATATCAACATGGGCACACACCAGATTTGCAGTGCAAACCAAGAGTGCAAACATCGGTTATACTTTATGGATGGAGTGAGAACGATTCCATTGTAGGGATAATTTAGTACACTGGAAAATCTGGCATAGTTTTTTTTTTTTATTGTAATTTGAAATGATCAGAATAAATTAAACCGACATTCTGAAGGGCTGTGTGCTGCGTGCCAAACCACCCATTCCTCCTTTCTACCTGTTGGTGCTTGAAAAAGCCTAGTGCATTGCTCTTCTTCCATTCTGCTCGTTACCAAGCTACCAGTGTTGATAGCATGAGTTGATGGCTCAAGTGCATGGCCAAAGATGCTCCAGCCTCAGGTCCTCAGGCTTGTTGAGCTACTGATATTCCACAGAGACACCCCACACCAGCTCAGCAGTTGCTTCTTTTTTCTGAATTTCTCTGCCTGCAAATTCGAGCAGAGGGGTCAGCAGCAAGGGTCGGTTTTATCATCTCAGTGAAAGTCTGCATAACAGCTTTGCTAGCTGTTGGGTCTTAGCTTGTGTTAGGGACAGCCAATAGCTAGTCCTGGACACAGAAAGTCTTAAAGCAACATGAGGGATCTGTGCATGTCATTCCCAATACTATTTACAGTAACTTTATCTCTAGATGCTCTAGACTCAGTCTTCACGTCTAATTTTACTTGCCCCGATCTACATGTCCTGGTCTTTTAAGTCAGTGGAAAACGTTTGTTGACTTCAAATTAGTTTGGATAATGTACACAAAAACTTGGCTTTTTAAATAGCTGTTGCTTAGGGCACCATACACCAGCTGTTCATCAATTGGTATGTACTGTGGTGTCTTCAGTGTACTTCCTTTTCACTACCTGAAGAAGTGAATGCTTATTACTATGATTAGTAATGATTAGCACCAGTTAGGACCAGTCTTATGCATTCTTGTTCCTGGAATGCAAGATTTGAATCTGCTATTTACATGCTGAAGGATCTTTTTGTGTTTTCAAAAGAGAATGCTAAGTTGCACTTTCAAATTGTAAGTAAAAGGATTAAGATTTTGTTTAGAACTTGATACAGATCAAAGCCACATAACAGAAACTTTTTCTATTAACAGTGTTTCTCAACATCTTTTAGCTGCAGGCTTCTGGCTTTCTTGGAAATGTAGAGCTGAATGTTGGAACTGCAATTGCATGTTACTTAGCACAAGAACAACAAGGCTTTAATGGATTTACAAATGAGTGCTGTAGAGGAGTGATGTCTGTGAACGCTAACTACTTAGTACTATGATTGCTTTATTGCTGGCTTAATCGCTGCGTTAGCACAGCCATATCTTTAAAGACTCTGTGTCTCTAACCCTTGCTGCTGCCTTCCCCTGCAGGTTTGGCAGAAGGGCAGAATGATTCAGATTTGAACAGGTTTTTCTCCTCTTTGCTTTGAAGAGGGGAAATCAAAGCGCAACAGGCAGCAAGGAACCAATTTTGCTTTAGAGGAGCTAGTACATGACTGTTTGCGTGGAGTAGTTCCAGGACTTCTTTGTGTCAGGGAAGTGACAAGTTGTCATATCCAAGTCATCACCAGGAAAATGTTATCTGTGTGTCGGTTGGGCACTTGGCTTCCGATCCTCCCTTTCTTGATATTTGAGGTGCGTGGGCCATATGGCTAACATACAGAGGGCTGGATCACGTAGCTCTCTTGGAGATCTCTATACTGCTGTCCTGATGAAGAAGGACTCGAGACTTGGGGCCTCAACAAGCACCACAGCTGCAGCACTCTTCTTCAGCCAAACTCAGCAGCAGCAACTCACTGATGCAATTCTTCTCTTCAAGGGTCGCTGTGATGTCAACCTCAAGAACAACCGTAACCAGACACCGCTGCACCTGGCTGTCATCCAGGGCCATGTAGGGATGGTGCAACTGCTGGTCAGCGAAGGCAGTGATGTCAATGCTGAAGATGAGGACGGGGACACAGCCATGCACATTGCCTTGGAACGGCAGCAGCTAATGTCTGTCATGATGGAGAAGCGTGAAGGGGAGATGGGGTTGTCCCTCCTTTCCAAGGTGAGCTGGGAGTAGGAGAAATTCCAGCACCAAGGGCAGGAAAATGCTTGATGTTAGAATGACAGCAGGTAGTGGGATCTAAGGGGGCAAAGGAAGGCGAGGAAATTGTGTAAAGCCAGTCCAGATGGGGAGTGTGGAAACAAACCTTGCTTGTGGGAAAGCAAGAATAAATCCTCTGAGGCCTCTGAGGGTACGCTTGAATTTATAGCATGAAACTTCACATAGTCAGACAACAATTCATACTGTCTCCCCTGATATTTTTATTAGCATTGTGCGCTTCTTTCTTGACATGGGAAAGGTCATGAATCCAGTTGCAGAGCCAAGAGTCCTGGGTTTAATTCATGCCCCAGAACCACAGCAATTCATTTCTGTCTGATGGCATGGAAAATATGAGGATAGCTAACCACAAACACCCCAGTTATCTGCAGATACAGAGCAGAACGTGAGAGGTGAGATGTATCAGGCTGAAGGATAAAGGCTACGTTGTCACAAAGCCTGAACTGGATTTCACTATGTTGCTCTGTATTCATGGATATATAAGGCCTTTCAGGAAAGGCCTTTGATCTAGAAATCAGTGCGTGATATGCCAAGGACTGGAAGCTTAGTCTGGCTTTTTGGCAAAGATATTAAATTAGCCCTTCCAAGTGTTCTGCCATCCATGTAAATATCAACATGGGCACACACCAGATTTGCAGTGCAAACCAAGAGTGCAAACATCGGTTATACTTTATGGATGGAGTGAGAACGATTCCATTGTAGGGATAATTTAGTACACTGGAAAATCTGGCATAGTTTTTTTTTTTTATTGTAATTTGAAATGATCAGAATAAATTAAACCGACATTCTGAAGGGCTGTGTGCTGCGTGCCAAACCACCCATTCCTCCTTTCTACCTGTTGGTGCTTGAAAAAGCCTAGTGCATTGCTCTTCTTCCATTCTGCTCGTTACCAAGCTACCAGTGTTGATAGCATGAGTTGATGGCTCAAGTGCATGGCCAAAGATGCTCCAGCCTCAGGTCCTCAGGCTTGTTGAGCTACTGATATTCCACAGAGACACCCCACACCAGCTCAGCAGTTGCTTCTTTTTTCTGAATTTCTCTGCCTGCAAATTCGAGCAGAGGGGTCAGCAGCAAGGGTCGGTTTTATCATCTCAGTGAAAGTCTGCATAACAGCTTTGCTAGCTGTTGGGTCTTAGCTTGTGTTAGGGACAGCCGATAGCTAGTCCTGGACACAGAAAGTCTTAAAGCAACATGAGGGATCTGTGCATGTCATTCCCAATACTATTTACAGTAACTTTATATCTAGATGCTCTAGACTCAGTCTTCACGTCTAATTTTACTTGCCCCGATCTACATGTCCTGGTCTTTTAAGTCAGTGGTGTTGACTTGTTGACTTCAAATTAGTTTGGATAATGTACACAAAAACTTAAATAGCTGTTGCTTAGGGCACAATACACAAGCTGTTCACCATTTGGTAGATTTGAATCTGCTATTTACATGCTGAAGCATTCTTTTTTGAAAACACAAAAAAATGCTAAGTTGCACTTTCAAATTGTAAGTAAAAGGATTAAGATTTTGTTTAGAACTTGATACAGATCAAAGCCACATAACAGAAACTTTTTCTATTAACAGTGTTTCTCAACATCTTTTAGCTGCAGGCTTCTGGCTTTCTTGGAAATGTAGAGCTGAATGTTGGAACTGCAATTGCATGTTACTTAGCACAAGAAGGAGCAGATATTAATTATGCAAACCATCGGGGAAAGTCTCCTTTAGACCTCATTACAGATGGAAGGATTGTCCAGATCGTCAAAGACTTCTCACAGAAATTCAGGTAAACCATGTCCTGGAAACTAGCTGCAGTATACTTCCTTGCAAAATGCAGAGTGCTCCTACAGCACTGTGGTGTCACTGCATGCAGCTGTTGTTCCAGGAGGGATGAAGCATCTTTGAAACACTTTGGGCATCAGTCTGAGCACCTCCTGTTTCATCTGGAGCTCGTTGCTGAGCCTGTGTTTCTGGAGGAGTTATTTAAGGGTGCATACTGCCATTTGAAAGAGTTGGGAAAAGCAGATTAATACTGCTGAGTGCAAACTCAGCCTCTTGACTTACAGAGAGCCCTGAGGCAGTCTGAGAAGACCGGCCACTGAAGCCAATTCTCTCTTGCAGAGTAATTCTGGGTTCTGTTTTACTTTCATTGGATTCTGCAGTTACAGATATTTAAAGTCTAAACAGAGAGGAAATGCAACAAAAGAGTGGGCACCAGAATCCGCAGAATTTATTCCAGAGCTAGATAAACGCTTGTTTTCAACTGATAAGAGAAATAGCTGAGAAAATGCCAAAGGGAGAGTAGCAAGTCAAAGATGGCTTTATCTCAGGTTCTAAGAAACATTTGTTTGGATTTTGACTTTGCAAACATGAAAGCAGAGTTCTGTTTGATCTGAGGGCACAGACCCACAGTCATGTTACCGCTGGAGGAGGAACCACGCAGCAGCCACTGTAATTGGCCATGCTTCTGGTCCACTGTAAATAACAGGTGAAATGTGTCCCTTTAAACATCTACTGTAGGAATTTTGTCAGTGCAGTATATGTTGGATTAAGTTTTTTTGCTTAAAGAATGCCAGTTCTTTCAGACTGACATTTCTCATAGCAGTGTACTGGTTTCAGCTTTGTGTTGAGGTTTGACTGGAGGATTTGGGTGTGTGTCTGCAGAGTTAAGGCAGCCACCGCAGACCGAGTGCTGCGTGCTAGATCATAGGCCTAAGTACACCATGGCGTGTCCCAGCATCGCACACAGGAGCTGTCAGGACAGGACAGTTAGCTATACCTTCTTAAGCTGCTTGGTTAGTCTGACTGAAATTAATAGGTCTAGAACAGGAAGAGTATCTGGGGTTTATATGCATTTATAATGAAGCTACTGCCACTTTGCTAGGAAGCTAGATAGCAGTTTCCTCCCAGAAACTTACAGACTTTGTATCAAAAGACCAAAAAGCACCCCTTCGCAATACTCCTAGTGGCCCAGGGATTTCTTGGCAGTACGGAAGACATTTGCCAGTAAATGACCATCCTTGTCCCTTCTGTTCAATCATTAATCATTCTTGCAGTTTAGGTAGTAGGTGACCGGCTGGCAGGAAAAGTAATGGATGGATTGGATGCTGAGGGCTTTGGATTTGGGGCTCATAATGCCAGGACAGAAGTCTGAATCCAAGCCTGTATTATGTATGAGGCAAACTCACAGACAACCGCACCAGGTGCTTTTCAGGAACATGCAAATACGGAGGATCCTTAGGGCTGCACTTTTTAAATAGCTCCTAAAAGCTGACTCCTCCCAGCAGATGATTGTGCTGTCAACCTTACTATTGCCCTCCAAAAGAGCAGTTTCAGCTTGTGTAAATATTAGTCATCCCTGCTCTTTCCCTTTCTTTTTAGATAGATCCAATCAGAAACCCGGCTACTAGAGGCTGAGTTGATCCCACTAGGGCAGGGAAGGTTCACAAGTTTGTGCTACCTGAGCATCTGCTGCTCTGTCTCCATGTGGAATGTTTGCCAGGGATCAATACGTTATCTGGTTGCTGAAGGAGGACCTGGAGTACGTGGCTCAAATTTTATTACATGTTCATGATTGCAGGGAACAGCAGGTTTCTTCAGACAGCTCAGCCATCACCTGCAGCCTTCGCCGTGTGCACACCACCCCCAACACAATGACCAACCTTAGTGTCTCGAGTGTGGCAGTCCCTACAGAGTGCCTGGTCTGCTCAGAGCTGGCCTTGCTCATCCATTTCTTTCCATGCCAGCACAGTATTGTGTGTGAAGGTAAGTCCATTCTGGTTTTTTTCCTTTTTTTAAAATTTTTCTCTCCTGTTTCACCACATAGCTTCCCTAGCTGGACTCTCGTAAGTCAAGCTCTGTTTAGACACAAAGCTATTGTGCTGTTTGTGTCCTGAAACAACCCCAGCATGATTTCAGCACCACCATCTTAGATAACGTGTCCAAAGCTATCTGTGAAAAGCACAGGCTGTTCTGATCACCTGCTGATTGTGACCCCAGGCAGCTTTGCTTGTGCTTATAGATGCCCTGGATAATTCCGAAGGAAAGCCAGATGTTTCAGTTCTAGCTGGCAGTGCTTTATCTGTCAAAAACCTCCTGAGAAGGATTTCCCTCTTCTCTGGCTTATGTTACTGGTTTGCGTTTTGATTGTTTTAATGGCAGCCTGCTCAACCATGTCAGCAAGTTTGTTATCTCGCAAGGCACTCACAGTCTGACCACAGGGAATTTGGTAAGGACTGTGTGCCAGAGCTGCATCCTTTTCCCTCAGAGCAAAGGGCTGTTTTGATCCACAGTGCAGCAGTTCCAGTAGCGCAGAGCATTGAGGACTTAAAGGTGTTATATTTGCTACTGGCGTAGGAAAGACTAAACCAAGAGACTAGGACATAGCTCAAAAAGAAGGTAGTGTCCTCATTTCCGTGCAGAAACAATCTCTTAATCATCCGGGGAGGTCTCAGGTTGTTCAAAGCTGATGTTCTTGAGTCTGTCGTCTTCCTCTTGATTCTGGCATCACTGGGCTTAACTGTAATCTCTTCTTGTATCATTCGTGGTAGAATGCTCCAGGAGAATGAAGAAGTGCATCAAATGTCAAGTGACGATAACCAAAAAACTGAAACAAGGTATGTTTGCTGTTCTACTGTTCCCCTGCTGTGGGAAGGGTCCTGCACAGCATTAGTTTGAGCAGCATCAATAATTTTCAATGAAATAAGCATAAGAAAGGGAGTTGATTTTGTTGTTTTTGTTGGGGTTTTTTTGGGGGTGTGTGTGCCTGTTGCATTGACCACGTTTAGAGAGGAAAAGGAAGATTGTCTCAGGTGTCATGGGCCAAGCTCAAGCTGCATAGACAGGACATTTGAGGAAGCTTGTCCTGTGCCTGGCTTATTTTCTGTATTGAAAGCAAATATCAGGTTCTCCATGTGCCAGTCTAACCATTTTCACAGGCAGTGATTTAACAGTGAAAATTTGCAAGAAAGGAAGAATTATGTCTTGTGAAAGTCTTGCTTCTCCCTTGGCTGAAATTACAGTGCCTGTGCAGGGCTGGCATTAGCCAGCTATCCAGGAATCATTGAGCTGGATTGTTTTGATAAAGCTCTTTAGCCCAGTTTTAAACAGATTGTCTTCTGTCCGCTTTACTCAGCGTCCAGAATGGGCAATGTTATACATGTCAGCAAGCTAGTAGCAGGTTTGCACGTGCCTTAGAATTAACGCAGGTTGCCCACTGGAGCTTTTTCCATAGCGGGTTGTGAGGGTTGATGTCTTTCTAGCAGAGATCACTCTTGAGGCAAGTGCACATGAAAATGAATTCCATGTCCTGCTGCTCATGGCTTAGCATTGTGGACTCCTTTGTTGGAGTCAGGCTATAGTCTTGTGACTTGATGCCTGGACAGAAGCACAGAGGAACCAAGAATCTGTCACATGGCATTGGACGTACACAGCTGGCAAAGATAGAAATCCTCTTTGGAACTCCATAATGCAAAAAATAGCAAGCTTACCTGACAGTAGGCAGCAGCATTTGTCTTTGCTACAGACTGGCAACCAAATAGTGATGAGAACTCCAAATGAGACATTTGCATGCAGATTTCCACTGGAGGAGGAACATCAAGGTCTCTTGAGAATATCAGCAGGACTTCCCTATCAGTGATGTCTTCAGTGTTTGCCTTTAGCAAGCTCCCCGTCCCCAAACTTGCTTCACCTTTATGGATTTGAAATCACTTCTTGCACCACTGAAGTGCAACTAATTCCAGAATGTTGGGGAAAGGGACACCTATACTGAAGCATAAAGCTACCTAATTAAAGATTGAGGAGCAGAAGATGAACAGTGGCTGTATTAAGCTGAAACCAGGAGGAATCTATTTACCTAAGCTGGCAGTTGTCCAAGATTTGGGCTTCTTTCATTTCATAGAGTTGACCAAATGACTCTGTGTAGCTTCATGTATGCAAAAGTCAACGTAAGTGATGTCTAATGGTTTCTTCTTGTTATACCATGTGTGTCCTGAAAGACTTAACCAGAAATTTGAATCCCAGATATGAACAGGAGGTTGAGAGAACGTAGTACTGATAGCACTGTAAGGATTCCTGGACTAGTATGGCAGAACATCACAACCAGCTTTGAACGTTTTTACTTGAAGGTAGCAGCAGCATATTCCAGAACACCAAGGCAGGACATTTTAGACAACATTTTGTTTCCTTTAAAAAAACCCAAACAAACTCAAACAAAAACACACACACCAGCTGAGCAACCAAATGGAAGAAAGCAACACGGGCCAGTCTGTAAAAAGCATCATCTCAGGCTTTTTATTTGAGGAATCCCTGGATAAGGCTCAGTGAAGAGAGTTTAGTCTGAACTAATTGCTACTCTTGAGGGGCAGAGTCTAATTAAAGAGACACTGCATGAGGCAGAGCACACTAGTGACTAACTCTCTTCCTGCTCTCCACCCCTGCAGACAGCACCGAGGTAGAGTGCAGCCCAAGCTCTGAATCCACAGATCAGAGGAAGCTCATGGAGGAGCTGCAGAACCGCTACCGGCAGATGGAAGAGCGCATCACCTGCCCTATTTGCATCGATGACCAAATCAAACTGGTCTTCCAGTGTGGACATGGCTCTTGCCCGGACTGCAGCACAGCCCTTACTGTCTGCCCAATCTGCCGGCAGGCTATCCGGGAGAGGATTCAGATCTTTGTCTGAGGATACGCTTGCTTCCCTTCCCATTCCCACCTCCCTCCTTTACTTCCTTTTTGTTTGCATTTTTAGATGAGAAGCGCTAGTCAGGCTGATGTGTTTGGCTACCTGCAAAGCCATCCTGAAAGAGAGGGAAGCAAATAACTGATGTGATTTGGGTGGAGGTGGAGGGAGTCCCCTCTACTTACAATGTCATAAGGCCAAGGAGCGGTGCTTGAGGGCAGGCAGCCCCCTCACACTGTGCTGCTGATCCGTCAGAAAGACCTGAAGTAAAGAACACTGACCTGCCTACTGAAGGCAGAAGAGACTTTCAGACCAGAGGCGAATAGACTTCCATATGCAGATGTTTTCAACGGCATCCAACTCCAGTGACTGCGTCATGTCTAGTGCCCTGCTGTGTCAGATTTGCAGCCTTGCACTGCTCTGAAAGGAGATGCTGTAGGAGGATATACCTCGTACCTTGGCAGGCAATGGCAAAGCATATGCTTGCACTTCACGTGAGGAGGTACCAGAGGAGATCAGTCATGGCGTCAGTTCTCCCAGATGCCTGACGGTGGTAGGGAGGTAATGTCCTAAGACAGCATGCTCTCTGAACTAGTACTTACGGGCTCAACAAGAACTTGGACTGACAGAGGCAAATCTGGATGTAATGAGATCCTAAAGACAGAGTGTGTGCCTTAGAGATAAAGTAGTGAACATTGATTGGAGAAAATATGTTGTTACAACAAATATTTCTAACCTCTAAGTGACACTCTTCTTCCCTTTTTTTTTTTTTTTGGCACAACCATGTGTTCAGAGACTCCTGAGCTTTCTATCCATAATGCCAAAGGCAGGTGTTAAATACTCCAATCAAAGTGTAAAGAAAATAAATAGTAATAATTAAGACATGAGAAAAAGGGATTTCATTTTTGTTTCTTTGTTTTGCAGAAAAACTTAATAAAATAAAATATATATTTTTCAGACCATTAAAATGAATGTACAAACAGTAGCTGAAATATGGATCCAGCTGTATTGTGTTTTCCAACTGTCTGACTGAAGAATATTACCCACTGAGTCCATCTTGTAAAATAACTGTTGGTGGAAGTGGCAACCTGTGGGGCTAGTGTGCCCTGGGTGTGTGTATGTATACATACGTGTTTGCGTGTGTGGTGTATATCTTTAATGACACAATTATACACAAGCATACTGTTTGTTACATATTGCAAGCAATATCTAAAACAAGTAACAATATTGTGTTCCTCTACTATCTTTGTCCATTAGCAAAGAGATGGCAAATCTTTTAAAGAAATTTTTAACTTTGTGGACTATATGGTAGTTACAGGAATATTTATTTCTTCGTAATCCCTTGGTGGTGTGAGAAAGTCTTATGTCACAACCTCTGATTCCTATAGATAATCTTTGTCAAAATACTCACTTGAGGCTGTTACAGTTTCAGTGGATTTTTTTGAGCTATGAAAATGGATCAGATTTAACCCCTAAATTATTTGGTTGGGTTAGATTTAACACCCAAATAACCTAAAGCTGAATTTCTGAATCAGCTTTGGTAAAAATCAGAGGTACAGATACTCATTTCCTAGAAGTTCATGTTAGTGTAAAGTCCTTTGGAATAAACCAGACGTTTCCCTAAAGCGTTTGCTGTATTGTGGTAGGGCAACAACAGAAAAGTACTGTGCAAAGGCTATTTTCAAAAAGTACAAGACTGAGCCATCTTTATAATGTAAGAGCTGCTTTAACCACTATTTGGTGCAAGTGAATAATTTTCCAGACTATGTATTACCCCAACCCCATGCTGGGCGTTTTTTGAAATACAGTTCTTTCACAAGCCTCTACATAAAATCCAAAAGCAGTTTACTAAAGGTGAAACTGGTTGGTACTTCATCGTGTGTGTTAAATGTGTATGTGTGCTGGCACTTGGGGAAGAGGGGACAGAGGTGGCAAACTGTTCAGTACCTGTTGTATTACTCTCATCTCTTATGCCTAAGGTGTCAGTTTATTCAGGGAAAAACAACAGGGAGCATCTGCTTCATTTTTTTAATAATGTCTTTGGATACTAAATGAAGAGAGGCTTCCAAGTGATTATTCTTCCTAAAGGAAAAAAATTGTAGGAAGACTGCAGCCTTCGACTTCCAAGCTGTGCAGCTGTTGCAGAAAATGGAGATTCCTCCCCCCGCCCCCGGCTAATGAAAAGACATTTTGTAGGGAAAGAAGAGCTCCCCTCAATTTTATGTTTTGATTTTTTTAAAATGCAAGTTCCATTTCAAGGTCTCCTGATCTTGTTTTCATGTCTGAAATTCATTGTATGGCCAAATTGGAGATGGAATTTTGCACAGCATAATATACCTGCTTAAGAACTACAGAAACGGTTTGTAACCATAGCATTCAGGTTGGGAGTATATTCTTTCATTTCCCTCTTCCTGCTGTGATTGCTTTTGAGGAGCAAGAGTTGAGCTGTTAAGCACCATTTTGACCCTTTCATTTTCCTAGTAAGAAGAAGGGAATTGCTGCACCACAACAGAGAAGAAGCAAGATGTCAGTGGAGCTTCAGGAACAAGAGATAACAGAAGGCAAGCAGATGCCCACATGTGCCAGGTATGTTTTTGGCAAGCTTTGCCCCCCGTGACAGGCTCAGCTCCATGGGAGTCAGGCTTTGGAGAAGTGAAGAAGGTTCTGCTGTTTTATCCTTTCCTGATAAGCCTGCTTACACGGAGGGCCAGGATGAGAGCGTGGCTTGCGGCCGATCGAGTGCCACGCTGGGTGAAACGGTGAGCTTTGCGTACTTGCTAGTTCATCTAGTTCATGTGTAATCTGGCCTGTACTCTCAGCCTGCAAAATAGTTTCTCTGCTCCCATTCAGGCTTGAATGTGAAGTATGAGAAGAAAAAGATACCTGTAGTAAGCAGGAAAAGAGCCAAGAGCCTGGCCTGAGATTAGGAGCTGCATTAAATTTAGCTAGAGATTATGGGAGAGGGAAGGAGGGGGCAAGGTGGGGGAAGATGTTCCTCCCCTTTCTCCTTTTGCTACCAGTTGTATTCTTGCTGGTTATAGGAACAGCAAGGGGCTGAAGAGAGGCAAGGAGATGTCAGAGCAGCAGGCAAACGCTCCTTTAAAGACGAAAGACAAATATTGTCATTAGTTAATCAGTGTGGGTAGCGAGTAGCTTTCTGCTTGATGTTTATAACCAGTTGGTCTCCCACAAACGAGGCTGACAGGTCTTCCGCAAATGAGCTGGGGAGCTCCTTGTTTTCACTGGGGCTTCTGCCATCTCCTGAAATGCAGCTCTGTACCTTGCAGCCATGTACAGCAATGGTTTTGAAAGGGAAAGATCTTGCTGAGTTTTTCTGGTGTAAGACTTTAAATATAAGGCGGCTGCTCATCTCATACTTGGAAACAGGGTTTCTAAAGCACTTCCTTTGGAAATGTGGCCAAAACTCCACGTTTTACAGGCAGCATGAGACCGAGGGAGTAGAGAGAGGGAGATAGCTTGTCAAAAGGCAGAGTCAGGAAAAGAACCCCTCTCTCCTTTGATTGTGTTCCCACCAGTCTATGATGCTCCCAGGATTTCAGGAGGATTGGTCCATCCACAAATGGATTACAGGTTATTAATATAGCCCACTAAAGAGCAACAACAAAAATATCCCCGCCCAGGGAAGCAATTCTTGCTCTGTTATGGACACACTTTATTATCTGTATATTGATAAAAATTTCTCCCTCATTTCATTCCTGAAATTCTACTTGCTACGTGGCCACGACTGGACTGCTGAGCTGCTGGCTAGGGTCAAGACCACGTCTCTTTGGTAACACAAGGTCAGGCCAGTACAGGCACTTCTGTGAGCTGCAGCTCCAAATTGACAGTTAAGCAAAATATTCCGTTTTCTTTGCCAGCTGGAGCAAGCCCTTGTTTTCAGCTCATTTGCTATTCAGCAGACCATGGATTTTTCTAGGAACATCAGCAGATGCTGATCACGAGGGGCTGCATGATAGAAAGTGGGAGAATGCCTGGGGACTAAAGAACATTCTTATTCTCCCCCTCCCGGGGGAATGTTGCTCCCTGCTACAGCAGATACGATCCTTTTTAGTCCATGACCCACTGAAAAAGTACAAGTTTTAACTGCCGTTCCCACAGGAACCATGCAAGAATGTTGGGTTGGTTTTTTTTCCCCCCAAGTTGTGAGATGAAGGGATAAATATGTAAGTGCTTTTTAAAATAAGAGCTATATGAGGATTTGCTAATTCTTTTCACATGGGCCACCAAGGAGCCAATATGTGGTAAATCACATTCAGCTGTGTGCGCTCCCCCTCCCCTGCCTGTGGCCTGGATTTGGACTGGTGCCCTAGAGATGAAACGCTGATGCTCATGCCTTGAGCCATCAGACACGATCAGATGTTAGGTCCTTCTTCTTTCCCTCTCTTCCCCACCTCCATGTAGAACTCCCAGCTCACGACAGGGGAAGCTAACGGGAGCAGTTTGTTCCAATGCTGAATAATATGCACTTAATCCATGAGTAAATAAGAGGTTTAATGAGAGGTGGGATTAGTTTTGGATAGCCGGACATCTGCAGTTCTAGCACTAATGGTTGTTCTCTGTGTAGTGCCTCTTAGCGTGACTGGGTACGTCGGAATATATTGTTCTTGCGTCATCTTGGGGACTTGAATGAAGCGGTGCCAGTGTGCTTCCTGGCCTGCTGCACCAGGGCTAGCTTTCCTCTTAAACGTGGCAAATGTAGCAGAGAGAACCATTTAGAAATAGTGCTGAAAGTAACATTTAATGTTAACAATGCTGAATAAAGGGGAGGAGAGAAATGCTAAGAATAATCCATGGAAGTGAGAAAGTATTTATTTTTGAACTAAAACTTGCCCTTGGGAATGTAGCCATATGTTGTGCCTTATATGGCAGCCCCACTTTAAACATTTCGGCAATTAAGATTGAAAAGAGCAAAGCAAGACTGAGGTGATTTAACGAAGAAAATGTATTGTGTTGTGCAAATGATCCAATCCTTTATGTTCTCCATAGTCTCTAGATGACCATTGTAGGTTTTATGCAACATTCACTCCCTTCTGACAGCTGTTTAGAGCCTGCTTTTTCACGTGACGTTTATTGCACGGAGAGGTCTCAGGGTATGCATCCCTGACTGTTTGCTTAGAAAATCCCAGCTCCCTACAAATGATATCCAGGTCCTGGTCACTGCTGCTAACAGCACGAAGACAAAGCAAAGTCAGTTCTGTCGTCCTTTCCTATTCCCCATTACACCACATGGATTCCCTCAAAGTGTAATGTGTTCCATTGCTTTTAGACGCTGTGCAGAAACCAAAGCCAGGAATGTTTTTCTGTCCAAATATAGGCAGGATGACAGTTCTCGCCTGTAGTCCAAACCAAATATCCGCACTTGAGAACCTGAGACCTCTAAAATTCAGCAGAACTCCAGAGTCACAGCAGCAGTTCTCTGCACTTGTGTAAGAGCAGTCCTTTCAGGGGCTCAGGCTGCCTGATAAAGCATGGAGAGTATTTTCAGCTATTGGAAAAGACAGAGATACAACTTCAGAGTTCTGACTAACTTCTTGCCCTTGGCACAGAGCAACCCTGGCTCCCAGAAGGGAGTCTGGGGAGCTGTCTGAAGCATCTGAAAGAGGCTTAAATTCTGACAAATGCTGTAGATTTGAGGCCACTGATGGCTGCGTCTGAGAGTCCTTTAAGCACAAGTATCTCTTGGGAAAGCCATGATATTCTTAACCCGGGGCAGGGAACAGGGATGAAATGTCAACATGCAACAGATGTGCACTCTGGTCCTACTAATACTTAAAATATCTACAGAAGAGAGCTGTGCTTGAAATTTAACAACCACAGTATTAACAAACTAAGTATAAACCTGAAATTTTGCTTTTTACCAGCAGCGGCACTGAGGATTCTGGCCAGAGCTTGTGCACCAAGGAATCTGGATGCACAGTGACTTTATCAGAAGCATTGTTAGTGTGCACAGCGTTAAGATCATGTGTCTCCCTTAGCCCCACAAGTTGCATCTGTAAGTTCTGAATACCTCAGCATAAGAGCTTTCCTCATCTGACTCGCATTGCCATAATAAATGAGATTTGTCTTGGCCTTACTACTGAGCTGGTTTCTGAGCAAATATTTGGCTTAAATTTTAAAAGTTTGGAAAGCATTCTGCAGCCAGCGGTTTGGTAAAGTTGGATGCACAGGCACTGAATTTCTATGTGGATGGGCACAGTGCATTCCCAGCATATGGGGGGAAAGCGAGCTACGTGCTTTCCAAGAAACCCTGCTTTCTCACTTCTGATCCATCAGGGTATAACCTGCTTGCTACCTGGACAGGGAAGCAGGATCCTAAATGTCACAGAGGTCATGAATCATCTCTGCAGCTAAAGATTCCCATTCACCCACCACATGTGGCACAAGAACAGAAACGGCTAATATACAGTATAGTCTCTTTCCCCATTCAGAATACTTCAGTAACTCATGGAAAAGGGCTTGGCTGTTCTAACCTTTAGTAGCTGCATGAATAAGTATTAGGAAACAATGAGGTCCTCAAGAATGCACTTTTACTAAAGCTCTAGATACTAACTTTTTTGCTGTGGGGGGTCTGAGCTGAGATGTATTTTACAAAAGTGTTTACTTTCTTTACATTGGGACAAAAGAAATTCCTCGTTTCCTCAGGCTATGTGGTTGTGTGAGTTCTCAATCTATGCTTTAAAACTCAGGCTCATGTAGCCATCTTCAGAAACAGTAAGGCACTAACTGGGTGCTTGGAAGGTTTCAGGTTCCTGCTCTGCAAGATTCCATGCTTGACCTCAGGCAAGTCTTTTCTCCTGCACAGTATGGTCTTAACCTGTAAGGTGCAGATAATAGCACTACCTTCCTACCTTCAAGGCTGATGTGAGATCAAATGATCTGAGAGACTGAGATGCTCAGATACGCCCTCTCCACTTGCCAGAGTATGTAACAGTGCATAAATTAAAATCTTTCTCAAACACTGCTGACTCTTACTAGCCGTATGAAAGGTGGATGCACTTAACGCTGTTACGCAGTTCCACGACTGAAACTCAGTGTTCTTCCAGCACTGTGTTTGCGAGCAGTATTTTTCTTTTGAGCCAGTACTGCTTTACTGGAGAAGAGCTCTTGGCTGAAGTTTTTGAGCCCCATTCCAAGGCAGATTTTTACTTCAAGACTCCCTTCTCAATCGGTCTTTCTGCAGATGTGTTCTCGTCTACAGACTCCGACAGAAACTTGTTCAGGGGACTTGAGATACTGATAAGTTACCAGTTTCTCACTTCATACTGTGGTCTACAGCTTAAACCACAAATGGAGGTGCATTTGCACCGCTCTCTGGAGCTCCGAACAAAGCACTTTTTCAGAGTGCTCACGCACAGGCATGTTTCATTCTGCCAACTCTGCTACTGAGAAAGAGGTGTAACTGTCCCTAGAAAGTTGCAGCTAACAGCTGAGATGAGCCAACATCTCTGACTGCTGCAGCTGACTGCTTTGGTCCACAGGAGCTCAAGCCCGGTACCCTTGCTTTGCTCTTTCTCGTCCTCCTAGTTCCAGCTTTCCTTTGTAATTCTATCCACAACTTCCTTTCACGTTACTCCGTATTCTGTCCTTCTGGTATCTGAACAACTGCTGCGCTTTGTCTACTCTCTGCAGAAAGCATGTTTTTTCTCCAGGGGGGAGCTTGGTGAAAATTAAAATAGAAAATTTTCCTGAAATTTGGTACAGACTCATTGGTCATATTTATTCTGAGTTGTTTAAAAGCTCCCGGCCAGCTTTAGTCTGAAAATACATAAAACTTATAAAACGTTGCAGGCTTGATTATGAACTAGGGAAAAAAAAAATTCAAATGAAACCATTTTTTATTATTAAAAGTGCAAGAAGTTTCTGAAACCTTTCAAATGCTTCGGATATCCCTTAGGATTGTTTTATACTGGCTGGCAACAGAACTACCCCCTCCCTGCCATCTGCTTGTGAAGCTAGGAGATTGCACAGTTCCTTTTCCTCTGCCTGGTCAGAACTGTTTAGCTAAGGACATCCCACCTCAGGAGCGCTGAGTATCCAGCGCTTAGTGACCAGACAGAAAAGTGCAGCTGTTTCTGAAAACCTGAGAATTTCTGAGTAAGCTTTTTAAAAAGTCCTGAGTTGACTTCATGTCTGCAGCCTGGAGATGCCTTAAAGAACCTAACAGCTTAAGGCAAACCGACCACTTCTCCAAGTAGGTCTTTCTGATGTGCTCAAGCTGAGGTACCCAAAATCAGGACGATTCTGAAAATACTTGCCTTTCTAGCATGATAACCCCTTACTGGGTAGCTCCCAAGTACACAAGAAATTTGCAGGTCACTTGCCAGGTTTCATGGAAGAGGGAGTTGATGTTTACTTTTATCTGAGTTTGTAAACTCCCTGACCAGAATTTCCTAAGCAGAGAAGCCCTGCCTGCTCTCTCACAGCATCTCATTTTTCACTCTGCTCCTGAAGACAGCCCCTGACAAATGACAGCTCTTCTAGCGTTAAGCATCCCTAATGAAACATTCCGAGGGCATGATGCTGGCTTCTGGATTCCCTTTTTCTGCCCCCTCCCCCAATTTTTTCATTACATAAAGCTGACAACTGCAGATTTGTCCTCTGCTGATTATACAGTCAGTTAAAGAAAAGAGTTCATGTCCATCCCAGCTTGTTTCACTTTGCTGCTTTTCCTCCGCCAGCCCAACTTTCAGCTGCAGTAATATGATACACTTGGCAGAGGCTAAGAGAATCTTTGGCACATTGGAAAGAGGCTTAATGTAAAGTCTACATTTTTTTTATTTTTTTAGGGCTTTTTGAAACTAGTGATTCTGCACAACTTTGGCAGTAACTGCAAGGCTACTCACAAATGCTCCAAATGCAACTGTGAGCAAAAGGATTACCAATGCATTCTGTGAAGAGAATGTCTTAATATCTGTCGCATCTCCCTCTAAAAAGTATTAAAGAACGACATGGATCAAGCAGAACAACTTTCTGCAGACAGAAGGAAGAGCTTCCTCTCAGTTGACAAGAAAAAGAGCAATGGCTGTAGAACCATTGTGGGATTTTTATGTGTATTCCCTGTGGTGGCTTTGCTGGCTATTGTGGGAGATCCAGCTGGAGCTGCAGTTCAGAAAAGTCAGGTAGGGGAAAGGATCTAATTCTCAAATGCTTGAAAGGGGAGCGGGGACATCAAATATATGTGCATGTGTATTCTTTTTAGAAGACGGATAAATTCAGGAAGCAATCTAAACAATATGTAAGTAACTGTTAAGGAAACAAGATCTGTTTATGGCTGTTTGAGTCCCTTTTTGCAAAGGATCCTAAAAGCTAATTATGCATCCAAGTAGAATCAGATTATTAGAGATGTGTATGCAGCTTGCAGACAACCAGTGAATGCACAAAAGATTTGGGTTGTTTTCCCTCAGAGCTTTGCCTATTCTTCTGAGTACCTCTGCTTTCCCAGCCTAGTCTGATGCAGCATGCATATATTCTGATTTCCATAGCAGCTGACCTTTCCTAGGAACTCCAGAGGCAGGGCTCGTGGCGTGTCAGATCTAAACTGGGAGTTAATGCTGGACCTACAGAAACTATTAGCTGATATTAACTCTCTTTCAAGGTCCGTCCGTTAGCAAGATACGCTGGGACAGACTGGTCAGAGGGAACAGTAGGAAGGCTCTGGCACTCTCAGAAGCTGGTCTTAATTTTTGCTTTTAGCTTAATTTTAGCTTTTAATTTTATTTAAAAAAAAAAAAAAATCTTCTCTAAGTGCTTACATCCTCTCCTGCTGTTTGTGTTCATGAAGATCCAGGCAATAGCACCCCTTGTTTGCATCACATGCTCAGGGCTCTTATGAATTGATGCTAAGCCGCAGAGTTATGTTACTGTTTAGTTTATGAAAGGGGAACTGCATGACTAGGAGAGAGAGAGGGGAATGAATTACATTCATTACAACTCAGTGAAGTAAATTAATGGAGGTCTGACTGCACAGGGCAAATAACGCAGAGCAGGGATGTTGACCAGTGTCTGCCTTTATACACGTTGGTGTCTATTGCAGTTGTTGAGAGAGAGAGTTGAAGCACCTCTCCTTCTAGCACCTCCCAAGCTTTTTGAATGTTTGAGACCTTAACCCACTGCCGAATGGGTTTCCTCCTGGGAGCGGCTGACATCTTCTCCAGTTCTGAGTATTCCCATAGTCTTGGTTCTTTGGCATCCAGACAGATCCTTTGATCAAAATTATACTATGAAATTTTTAACTAGGTCATTCCATTTCTGTCAGAATCCTACATCTGAGTTACAGCATATGTGTGGTACCCCACCCTTCCCAATTCACTTTGCAACACATTCTTAATTAAAAGCATCCTGTTGCACCAGTGGTAGGTAGAACAAAGACTAGAGCAGAACAGAGACTGAGCCGAATGTTTGGGCGAAAGAACTCAACCCTCTGCACCTTTCTTGATCTAGTGACTGGGTCAGATACAGGTTTCAGTGATCGCTGTTTGGACCTGAGTCGCCCTTACTTTGTTTTGTATTTTGAGGATAAGTTCACTAGGGACACAGATTTTTTTTTTTTTTTCTTTTCCCCCTTGCTTGTTCAGCACTCATGGCCTTAGGGTTTTAAGCTCGATGGTCGTAGAAAAGACAGTAATTTTTCTCCCTTGGGGCTGCAGGAGTTTTCCTTGTAGAAGCAGCAGCCAGCAGGCTGTTTCTGACTATCTAATTTTCCTCTGCTGATACCCAAATGGGTTTAAAGAAAGAGCCTCAAGATTTCACCCTATGCTGGTGTAATTTAATAGCCCAGTGGCAGAGGAGGCAGAATGGGCAGTGTCCATTACTCAGCCTGTGCAGCTTACAGCTCAGCGTGTTATCATCAACTGGAAATGGCACCAGTTGGGCTGTGAATTATAGAGGCTAGAAAGCAAATGCACTGCCTGTTCTGCTGGCTTTGCTAAGGAGCAGGAGCATCATATCGCAAAGACAGACAGCTACTGAAGAGCGTTAATACCTTACCTCATCCCATAATAAGCTGTCAGAGCCCGCAGACTGACAGAATTCACAGTACTAGCAATCCTGGGCTATTCCTGACTGATGCCAGAATGAATGTGTAATCAGCCCCAATACTGGCAAGGGATCGTAGAGAAAACAACAAAGGCAGAAAGGATTTGCCTAATTCTACCCTACTTGAAAGAACTGCAAAAAAAGGGAAAACATCTTATTATCCTGTAATTATGAGCTAATCTTCTCCAGGCTTCTCTTACAGCTCCAACAGATCATTGATACACAGGCTAGCTGATCCTCCACCTTGTCTGTGCAGCTCAAAAGGATGCAAAATTTTCCGTTCGTATCAAGGGAAAATGGCATTCTCGGAGTAGAATCAGAGGTAAAAGCCACTGGAGGTGAAGGGAGAGGGACAACAGCCAGTGTACTCACATCACACATGCCTTGGTGAAGAAGGGGCTAGGCCTTGAGCTGAGCAAACCAAAAAGTATGAGTTCCTCAGCCAGATCCCTTAATACAGCAAACAAAGTGACAAAGGTTAAAAGGGAAACGTGATCCTGTGTGTTCTTTCAAGAGCAAACTGGCATCTGAAGGCTCCCAGGAATGTGATCAAATACCCTGCCAAAAGCTTGCAGCTTAGAAGGCAAGGTATCAGTTAACATCGCTGTCTCATAGGTGACGTTCTATGGCCCTTGCATTCCTTACGTTCAAAGACATTGCTGATTTCAAATTGTGAGTCAGACCCATAGCTGAGCTGGAAGAAAGACTGTCCTTCTAGGAAAGAAAGATACTGAGATCAGAACAAGATAGAAGCTAGCCTGGCTCACAGACATGAGCGAAAGAGGCTGGTTTCCTGTTAGGATAGAGTCCCTCAGCCTTTTACCAGTCATGGAGAGATGCTAGTGATTTGGGCAGTATCTGGCAGCTGTTGCTTCGAGCTTCTTGTCTTTTCTTGCCATTTGTTTGCTGTGAGACCAGGGATATGCTATGTTGATTCTCAGAGCCTCAGCTCTTCCGTGAGTAAAATGAAGACAGCTCTTGCCTCCTGTAGAATGTGCTGTGAGGCTGAACAAACTCGTACTGGTGCAGCTTTTGTAACGTTGCCACTATACATATCGCTTAGTGTCTTGGGGCCTCTGCAGCAAAGATGACCAAGAGATTTTCAGCGTCTTAGTCCTGAAAAAGGGAGGCAGAGCGGGTGGACTTCCAGAGAACCATGTTGGATCCCATTCTTTTACCTCCACTACTCAGGACTAAAAGGCTTTTATAGTTTGAGTCAGACCTGTCACGAAATTTGATGTCTTTTACTGTATGATGGCTTTAAATGCACTCCAGGGTTTCCAGTGCTCCTATTTACTTTGAAGGCATTTCAGATCCACAATGCAGCTTTATAAAGAGCTCTCTGCACAAAGGGTTGCCTGTTTTACTCATTTGTCCGGTATTTCATTTCTTCTGTGGTGAGGCTGGAGAGCAATAGCAAAGTGAAAAGGAAATGAAAACTTTCCAGGAAGAGCTGCAGACTCACCGTGGCCAGAAGCCTACTGAGGCCTCATTTCTGCTCCATCTGTGCTGCACTCCGAGAGCAGAGCGGAGTGGCGGCAGTGCCCTATTCTGGAATTATGCAGCAGCTCAAGGGAGCCTACAGCACCGATCCTCTGTGATCCCGTGTTGAGGAGTGCTGCTCCCTTCCTTTCCTTGCATGTCCGATCTAAGACATGCTCCAAGAACTCCTCATAGCGTAGCCCCTCTTTTGCTCTGTCTTGGTTTTGTTCAGCACACTCGGAGCAGGCATACTTTGCAAAGCACTGACCAGCTGATGCACTAGTCTTGTCCCCTAGACACCCATAAAGGAGTACCGGTTGTGCTCCCCAGCCTCCAAATGTCCCATACCTGATAGTTTTCCTTTTACACTGTTCAATCCTGCAGTCTCTCCCATCTTTTCAACCTCCTGTTTTGTCTTTTAAGGAAGATGCTACATCACCTGGTCTTCATGGAGCGAGTGCCTCTGCTTTGCACGGTCCAGCTTTCCCACCTCGGCCTCCAGCACGGAGAAAACGATACACGATCACACCAGGGCACTTGAAGTGGGACCACTTCAACTTGACATACAAGTACGGACTTGCATTAGCCCTAAGAGTTACACTGGGGTCTGAGTTTTTCCTGCCATGAAAAACCTTTCCTTATGAATATCGCTAATCCATTTGCTAGCGAACGGATAGCTGCTAAAGCCACGCTAAAGTAGGAAGTATTTCTACAAATGCTACGCCTCTCGCCTCAGCTGTGGATCATGTGAAGCATCATCACTGCATTAGAAGCTAGTGGCACATATGGCTGCATGCTGAGGCTACTTACAGAAAAACTAACTGTTCAGGGACAGATTCAGGTGTCAGACAGATAGGCTTCGCAGAACTAGGGACTGCCCTCAGAAGGTGGTGAATTGAATATTAACTCTGTCATGCTGGTATTTTTAAAAGAGCTCTGTATGAACCTAAATCACCACTGAAGGAAATTGTTCTTGAAAGGTTCTGTGATTTCAGGAGGACAGAGCTCTGTTAGTGCTGAGTGCTTTTAGGAATCTTTCTCCCTGTTGTCTTTGGGAAAGGATGCCAACTCTTAGATTACTAACAAATAAACAATAAAAAGCCCTTGGCAATTCTAGGGTGAGCGAATGTTAACCCTAATATTTTCAGACATTTCTGCCACGGAAAGTGGCTGTCCAGATTACTGATTTCCAGCTGGGTTTACCACTGCTCAGAACCAGCAGCATTTCAGCAGTACCACACAGCCATAGGGTGGTCTGGTTTTGATATGATGGAGCTATGTAAATGTGCAATGCTAGTCCTGCTTTCAACAAGCAGGCTGTTCAGAGCCAAAGTTGATGGAGTCCTATGGATTTTCACACTGAACTGTTTCTCATTGCAGTCTGGCTCTACTGCTTGTGCTGGCATAAGGCAATGTCAATCCTGTTCGGTGTTCAGCCTTGGAGCAGCTCTCTTCCGTGCTTTAGCAGTGGCTGAACAGCCCCTGAAACTGTCCAGTGCGATGAGCTGTGGTGGCAGCATCCTGAAAAGATGCTTTTTCTCTCTGGGAAAATATTAATGGCATTGTTGAATGTTTTTCAGGTGACATAGCGTGAGTTCACACAGAACAAGGTTCAGGGAATCCCCTTAGAAACAGTTTCGTAAGATGAGCACTGGCAGGTAGAATCAGACTGTCACAGTAAACCTCAGACTAGCAGGAGTCCTGGATGTTTGACTGAAGAAAGGCCTGTTGTTCACTCCTGGCTGAGAGTCTGCACCTTCCTGGGGACAAAAGAGGCAAATCAGGTTTTTTTCAATGTCTTATGTGATTACAAAGGTCCTTTTAATGTGGCTACTACCTCCATCCACTCCTGACTTTAAAGTACAGAGCAAGCCCCAAACCTGACCTCTCGAGAGAGCTGCAATCACTGTTAAACTGCAGTGGCTTGAATGGCAGGTTACCTTGGATTTCAGAAAACGCGTGAAAGTGGCCTCTGGCAGTAGCAATGTGTGTTGCAGCTTTTTCTTGGCATTGGGTTGAGGACATCGTTACGGAGCTGTGAGGGTCTCTCTCACACTCTAGCTGTGGAAAGCTGACAAGGCTGTGACTGTGACGGGTGGGAGAGTTTTCTGTCACCAACTATCAGGAAAGGAAAGCGTTGTTTGCAGTGGGTTTGCCTGAGGCAGTGGAGGTAAGGAGTGAGGGCAAGCGGGGCGGGCAGAAGGACAGCAGCAGTTATGTCTGTCCGAGAGCTCTGTGCTAACCCCTTTATTCTCCACAGAAGCAGGAAGGGGAGTATCTCAAGGTCACCAAATGCAGGCTGGGAAGATAATTTGCAAGGTGTGGCTGATGCTGCAGTTACCTCTGTTCTCTAGTAGCTGTTACACCGTCAGTTACACAGAAGTCTCGTTGTAACTGTCACTGGCCTTATTTGCTCCATGTGCGGTGGTGGTTGTTGCGTTGTTCCGTGGGTGATGCTGCAGTGCTGATCAGTACATGTTGACTTCCCGGTGGGCAGCAGGGGTTAGTTCTGCCTGTAAGCCCAGACAAAGAATGAGTGGGTGGCATGAACCTGACTCCTTCACGCTGAGCAGAGAACATGTATCTCCCTTTACGCTCATCCCAAACAGGCTAAGCCTCACGATAGTCTTAAGTGTCCAGGTTTACACTCGTTAACAGCCTGGCTTGATACGAAACCTTCTGCTCCCTTTAGGATGTGCTGGGACGAAGGGAGAACATAAACAGCATAGCTAAAATACAACCAGAGGGGATAGCAGAATATACACAACTTTTCCCAATTGCTACACTTCAGGCAATTTCCTGAATGCAGATCTTCTTTTGGGACAAGGTAAGTTTCTAGGAGCCATCTGTACATTTCCATGGTTCTGCCATCCTGCACCAGTAGTTTTCTTACAGTTCAGCTGTATCTATACCTGTGGCCTAAACAGGAACCTCTCTCGAGTCTCTCTCCCAAGTGATTGAGATTTTTTCAAAGGAAATAACTCGTTTTACTATCAAACCTTTAATATCCTTTGGAACCCTCTTTCAAAAGTTCTGCCTAAGAGTATTATAATTCAGTGTGTGCACATACATCGTAGCCTAAGTGTTATGAATAGGAGTTACAAGTCTGCTGCTGAAATGCAGTTGTTTCCTCTTCTAGCAATGCTGCACAACAGACTGGGAGATGTTGGGATAAAAACAGTTTTCCAAGAGAACCTCGTCTAAAATGATGTGCTTGAGGAAGGACAAGAGCTGTAGTCCAGAACATGTGATTGAAAAGAATATCAGTAATATATTAGTCCCTGTAGGGGTTTTATTAAATACTCTTAATATCCAGTTCAAGCTACTCCCGTTTTGAACCTATTAGAGTGAATGGAAAGACTTGATTGTCTGATGCAGCCTTGAGAGCCTTCAGCTGATGTTTGAGAAGGGAACAGCATTTTCCTGAAGTTGTTCTGTCTTCCTACAGAATCCTGTCCTTCCCAAGAAACCTTATAAACGCCAGGGACACACGCAAGGGACTAGCAGCTGCGTTCCGAATGTGGAGTGAAGTTTCACCATTCAGCTTCAGAGAAGTGCCACGCCACGTAGCTAGTGACTTGAAAATAGGTAAGACTGCACGGGCTCCTGCGCTGACAGAACACGGTTGCGTTTGTTAACTCCACAAGGGACTTGCAGAATTTCAGTACGTAAACCAGGAGTTCGGAGGCAGGAGACAGTCCTCCTTTGCTGTGTGGACTCAGCAGGGCCTCTTGGACAAGGATTGGGGCATCGTTTGCCTTTCGTTAGGTAGAGAAACTACTTCTAGTTGCTCTAAAAAGATGTTAATTTCATAATTAACACTTTCTGTGAATCTTGCAGTCAGGAAGCTTTACGTATTTGACAAGAACTAACCCTCAAAATCTGCCACTGGGACAGGATTCTCTCTATTCCACAGATGGGGAAACTGAATAGTGAAAGGTGAAATGACATATGCAAGGTCACACAGAGCCAAAGAGCAGGTGACGGATTCCAGCTTGTTTATGGTTTTAGTCTCCCTTCTGTTGATCCTGTTGAAGCACCATCTTTTCTCTGTCCTCTCTCTCCTCCCCTCCCTTCTGCCCCTGTACCACTATGCAGTAGTGACATCCTTTCTCGGGCCTAGAAAAATGTTAGTGCTGAGGCGTTATCTGCTCAGTCTCAACTCCGGATGTAAATTCTTCCTGGGATTTATGGTCTGTGTGAAATAATTATTTCCTGTGCAGATGGCAGCAATATTGAGATTTACCATTGTTTCGCAACATGCTCTTCACTCTGGTGTTGCATGACGCTACTTACAGGCACATGATACGCCTTCCCGGGGGCCTGTCCGGCTGCCACATGTGAGCTCCAGGTGGCCCAGTTGCAGCGGACGCAGGGTACACTGCGATGCTGTTGTGATGCTAGCAGAAAGACGGCGAGCAGCTATGACTCTAAGGCTATCTGTTCAGGTTTAAAATGGAGCAATTACATCCTGGGGTCATCATCTCACTGTCTAACTTCTCTCTCTCAAAAAAAAAAAGCGTCCATGTGATGTTGCAAAAAGAGCTCAGCATTCCTTTCTGAAAACTAGACTCACTTGCGTCCATTGGAAACAGCTCTAAATCCAGGGTCATCACAGGGCTGAGTAGAGTTTGCATCACAGAGCCATCATTCCTGACAATCGCTTTGCATTTATTTTTCCTTTTGTGGCTCCGTAGGTTGGAAAACATGTGGATACCGTAAGAGATTTTTTACTAAACCACAAGTTTATGGATGTCTGTCCTGGATGGGCTTACCCTGCTAGATACACTAAATCTGCTTCTTTTTTTACAGGCTTCTACTCTATCAATCACACAGACTGTCTGGAGTCTCTCATTCACCACTGCTTTGATGGAACAACAGGGGAACTTGCTCATGCCTTCTTCCCACCCAACGGGGAAATCCATTTTGATGACCACGAATACTGGATATTGGGAAATACACGGTTCAGCTGGAAAAAAGGTAACACGTGTCTCGGGAAGCACATAATTAATGCCTGTAGGATTTAGGCTTTAGTCCTTGTTCTGGGGTTTACCCAGTATGGGAAAGAGCCAACAGAAATGGTTGTGATTTTCTGTAGTTTTGGAAGTTGTTGGCCTTGCTGTCATGTGACTGAAGTGCTATAAGGGACCATGTTGGGTGGCAGTGCCATCTCCTTCTGAATAGTTCAGTGGACTTGCTCGATAGCTCAGATGCATATTCAATAATTACGTCTGGCTTCTGCCCAGGCAGGTGCATCTCTGAGAAGGGCCATGTTGTATTACTTCAATACTTTACTTGCCGGCATGGCTGTTTACATTTTAGTTTTCCTGGGTCTGTAGTCATTTTTGGGTTTGTGGGCACCTAAAAATGTCTGTGTTACTTATAGCTTGGCGTTTTTTTTCTTCTTGATTTTTTTTTTAAGCAATGTCAAAACTAAATTTAAATTAAAAGCAGATGGTCCCTGACTAACTAGCAAATTTGGTTCATATTATATGACCAACTCAGTACTTTTTTTTGAAAATAAGATATTTTGCTTTTCACCAAATAAAAACAGAGGAGGGGAGATTTTAGGTGACACAGAGGGACTTCTCCTATCCTTCTTGCTTTCCAAAGCACAGCAACAGATAAGATCTAGGGACAAAGACCTAGGAGAGATGATCTTTAAAGCAAGAATGTCAGTGTGTATTAATTTATTATGCAAGATATCAAGATAGGTGTCAGTAATAACACCTCTTGTGAGTCGTCCTTCAGTTAAAATCCACCTCTGCTGGAAGCAGGCTTCAAGATGCTTCCGAGAAACTTGAGTTTGACCTATAGGCTATGGGAGATGCCGAGGTCAACTGGAGGCCCTTTCATACTGGAATATTCCAGCTAGCAATCTCATTCCCGAACAGCCATTTCCAGTTACAGCTCTGGGCTGTGGGAACAACATTTGCAGGAAGCTGACGAGAGTAATTAAGTATTACACAGGGCACTTGCCTTCATTTCAAATATTGCTGTTTCAGAGCAGTCTTCCTGTAGTCTGGCAGAGCAGCTGTTTGAAATTAGAAGCATGTGGAAATAATTGGCTTGTCTACTTGCACCCAAGCAGCTACAGGGAAGATGAAACTTGGGCAACCTTTGATGAGACCATACTGTCCTTGTGCTAAAATATTTCCTCTGGTTTTACACCAGGATTAGCAAATGTACTTCACTACACAATGCCAGCTGCTCTTCTGTTTCTCTTGCAGGTGTTTGGCTTACAGATCTGGTACATGTAGCCGCTCACGAAATAGGACATGCCTTAGGACTTATGCACTCCCTGAACCCCAATGCCCTCATGCACATCAACGCCACTTTGACTGGGAAAAAGACCATCTCTCAAGATGAAGTCTGGGGAATTCACAGACTTTACGGTAAGGAAGGCAGGGTTGTGCTCTGGGCTCCTCTGTATAAAGCACATTTGCCTAAAGCATCAGTTGGATCCTGAGGAGCTCTCAGTGTTAGACCCTCATTGTTTGGCAGGACTAGGCTGTAAGCCAGTGAGCAGTAGGCAGGAGGAATCTTACTCCTTTTTATGCGAAGTAGAGCTACAAGGAGGTGTAGCATTGTCTGTTTCCAGCACTACTAGCTTCAAATGTGATAGTCAGGAGGCTGGAAATCTTACAGACTTCATGCTTCCACCTCCCCAGATGGCAGTTCTGAGTAAAGGTTTCAGAGGGGTCAGTCTACTCTGTCTTCAGACTGCTGTGAGCTGCCTCCGCAGAGGCATAGGCACTGTGTGTGTTCTCATATCCCTAGCTCATTATGCCCCAGCCCAGCAACCAGCTCTGGGCATGGACGCTTTGGGCCTTTTGTACTGTGGCTTATACAAGAACAAAAGGCTAATTTTAGCCATGGAGAGCCCTGACATGCATTTGTACATTTGCAAGCATCAGGTGCACAAAGGGAAAGCTCACATGCAAAGAAAGGGGGAAGGCAAACGGCTGTTACTCTTTTGGACGGACTCAGATGTATTAATGCAACATGACAAAACTCTCTGCAAACCAAACAGGCTGTAGCAAGATTCTCTCGAGCTCTGACACATTTGCCTGCTACTCTTCAAACATTACCTAGTGTAGGGCTTAGAAATAGCAACTCTCTTGAATCACTGATGCTACTGCATGAACGTAGCTCAGTATCTATCTAGCCCACTGCTCATATAATAATGGCACCCTGCTCTATTTATTGTACTCCTGTTTTAGATTCCTTCCTGTCTCAGCTCTACCATTTGCACTGAACAATCTGATTTAAGTGAAATGTCAATTTGTTTCTCAGAAGGAGCAGTCTACCCCAATCCCTCTAATGCCTTGTCTCCTGTTTCAGGATGTAAAGACAGATTATTTATGTGCCCATCATGGGCACAAAAAGGTTTCTGCGAGAAACGCAGGAAGTTGATGAAAAAGCACTGTCCATCTACCTGTGACTTCTGCTACGGTATCTAACTTTTCTTCTGGGATTCTTGGTGGAGTTTGCACAGAGGGAGGAGGTAAAAGTTAAGCAGTGGTTGCTGCAGGGATAGGCAGGATCTTAATTCCACACTAAAGATCAGTGGATGCAAGTGACTAGCCCCATCCAGCTCTAATGAGAAGCAGAGCAGAGACGGCCTCATACATTTGAGCCAAGATCAAGGCTTGGAAATAGGAAGCAGCTTTTATGTTTAAACATTTGTGGACTAGAACATTAAACTGTCCCATTCCTCTCTAGTTTAACTGAACTAATGATAGGGAGTTTCTGAAAACACAGCTGCTCCATGTGCCTCAGACTGCTTCCCTTTTGGACCCAACTGAGGAAGTGAGGTGCTGATGTGTTAAATTCAGAGATAAGAGATGCAGTACAGCTCCTGATGCAGTGATGGGACATAGACAAGACAAATGACAACTCAAGCACAGCTGGACTTGAGCTGCTCTGCAGAAAAAGAGATAAAGTATGTTAATCTGTCTATCTAGTCTCTCAGTTTTATGAATCCAGATAGGGGACTAATGCAGGATCAGGTCAAGTTACTGCAGCTGTGGAACTAAGCTTCAGATAAATACTTACTGACTTTAAGAAGATGTGCCATATAACTAATACCTCTCTCTCTCTAGTAGAGAGGTATTTTTTTAGACCACATTAATGCAAAGATGCAGTCAGATAATTACAAACCCATGTATTCTAGGGGACTGTTCATATACTGAACGTATACTCTTCCATATATATGAAACAGGCAAGTGGTTTTTTATCCATCTCTGTCAGTTTACATGCCACAAAATTGTTATCTTTGCATATGAATAACATTACATGTCCATCCAAGGATTGCTCAGTAGGAGGCATTTTTAGATTAATACTTTTAAGGTTCCTTAGGTGGTAACATTATTCCATGAAAGTGTTTTGCAATGACCAAAGCTTGATAATGAGATGTGCTGACTTTTGCCATTTCTTTCTCTCACCTCTGGTGGATAGAATTCCCATTTCCAACGGTCCCCCCTACTCTGCCCCCGCCAAGGACAAAAACCAAGACTGTTTCTGAAGGCAGGAACGTCACCTTCCGCTGCGGACAGAAGATAATTCATAAAAAAGGCAAAGTTTAGTAAGTGCTCTATCATTTATTCCAGTCCTTTAGGAGACTTTGCAGCTTACACACCAATTATGGAATTAATGACAAAACAGCGTAAATAAGAATGCGGTTTATCTTCTGGAGCATGTCACTGTCTCACTTGGCACCCAGAGTAGAAAGAGGGGTGGCTGGCTAACTGAGAGGGGAGTGTGCAAATATTGTTCGTAACATTGCAAAGCATTTAGTCTGAAAGCAGAGCTATCAGAAATGAGCAAGCCAAGTTGAAAAAGGGTAAAATCCAATTCACATATATAGCACAAAGATAATTCTTACCACCAAGTCAAATTCCCTGGCCCATATTTTGCAAAAAACCACAGTCTTAAATTTACCCTTTCAATTAATAGTTTGTTAGCCCTTACTGATGTACAAGCATGTTATTTCTGGATGTATCTAAAACTGAGAGAGATATGCCCAAGTCCATGAGTTAGTTTTGGCTGAGGACCCAAATTCCCATCAACTTTCAGTAAGATTCAAGCCCCTACATTACTCAGGATAGTGCCCTGAAATATGTAGTAAAACTTAACCTTGTTTTGTTAAAGTACCATCTGTGCTGTACACTTACTGAAGCAAAACTTACTAGGAGAAAGAAGATTCATTAACACATATTGCATTGTACTGGACATTTTGTAGTTTAATTTCTATTATTTTTCTTATGACAGCTGGTATAAAGATAAGGAGCTTCTGGAATACTCATATCCAGGTTACTTATCCTTAAATGAGGATCACATGAGCATCATTGCAAATGCAATTAATGAAGGAACTTACACTTGTATAGTAAAGAAAAAAGAAAGAATCTTGACTACTTATTCCTGGAGAATCAGACTGAAGCACTAACGAGGGCCCTGGAATGAGCACTTCAATTACTGCTAGTTCTGTTTCAAATTCAGAATGTTTCTTTGGCATTTTATATTTAATCTCCAGTAGTGCAACTGAACTTCTAAATCAGCTGCTTCCATACCTTGGGCAAAAGAGACTCTGAGACTTCATTACTGGAACGTAGAAGTTTTCCAAATTAGTTTTAGTGATAAAGAATTTATCAAGTATGTGCTGTACAGAGAATTAAAATTTTTTTTTTAAAAAAGCAAAGTGTCAGATTTTGCAGTTAAACGTTTATGTGGATCACTGCGGACTGCTGAAAAACAAGAACATAACTCTTCATCAAACAAATGGATGAACAGATTGATGGCTCAGCTATGTTGCAATAGAGGCAGAGGTATTGTGGAAGGAAAATGGCCAGTTATGCTCTGTAAGTGTTTTGCTGTTATTTTTTTAGATCCTGGTGCATAGAACTAGAAGAACTTACAAAAAAAGTGTAAGACCTAATATTTTCCTTTTTCTTTTACTTATCTGGAGGAGGATGTAGGGTGACAACAAACCCCTGCTAATTATTCTATTCCACATTTTGACATGTTCAGTTCAAGTATCCACAGAACATCTTTTTTCCCCCTAGCCGCTTTCCTGCGGTTTGTATTTATTACTCGTGTAATCTTATCCCAATATACTATTTACCTGCATCAGCAGCTCCTCATAACTTGTCCTTTAGGTGTCTGATCAATAAGCCTCTTGACTCCTTCAACAGAGATGAGGTAATTTCCATCACTGTCCTCCCCCAGTCACCCAAGTGATGAGGTAAATATGCCACATCCAACAGGAAAATAGCGTTAGTATTGGTAGGCAAAGCCTAGTGCACTCAAACTTATCTACAGCAGCGGAGCATTCATTTGCACAGTTAGGAATCCCTGACAGTCATTACATTTAGCAAGATCCTTATCCAGTGTTAAAACAGCCTACGTTGCTCTTTGCTTAGGTTCATCCTTTTTCAGTTGTCCTCTTAACCTCTTGAAAGAAGTTTCTTCCTACTTAAAAGCACAGCAAAACTGCAAAGCATCTCACGTACCGCGGCACAGGTCAGTTGCCTAGGAAGACCTCTGTATTAGAGCAGAAAGGCTCCATCAGCAAAATTCTCCTCTGTTCTAGGACAGCAAAAGAGCAAGGGAAAAGAAAGAAACTAATAATTACTGTTTGTCTGGTACAAATGCAATGACTATAATTTTACTGGCAGACATTTAGCACAAACTCTGCACATCTTCATTTAACAGACCAGAGCTGCACCATATGGATCTGAGCATCTCTTCTCAAGGCAGCTTTGTCTTTGGGATTTGGAGAAGAGAAACAAGGACAATGAGCTGATCATCGTAGTCTTCAGTAACTATCACAAGGGGATGTCAACACTTCAGCTGCAAGAAGGCTTAATCTTTGGGTAGATCCAAAGTCCTTCATCTCACTTATCACTACAGCATAACAGTGTCTTTTAAACATATCATTTATGATTACCAGGTTTCATACAATTTCTCTGAATACAGTTTCTTTACATTGCAGTAACCTACCGCTATCTCCGTAGCGCTCTCCAACTGTCTGATGCTTCTGGCAGGCAGTGTCCACACTGGAGTTTGGGGAATAAGTGAATGCACAGGCAGGGTAAGCACTGATAGCTAAGGCTCTGCTTTGCCACAGATACCCTGTGAGATGTTGGCCACCGTCAGAAACTGGATGTTGACCCAAAGGCCAGTGGAAAAAAGAAAGCAATTAAACAAGTTGCAAGCTTAAGACAGACACCAGGCCACTACGCAGCTCTGCCATTCCGTCCGGTACGCCCACGACACGAACGGCATGGCACAGCACTCCAGCATGCAGATCTGCTCTATCTGCAATTTCAAGGCTATCTGGTCGCTCAACAGAATTGTCAGGAAACAAAACACTTGATTTTCTGTAAAGAAGCCAAGAAAAAAATTAAGCTCTCCCCATCCCCCTGCACAGGCACACTACATGACACAGCTTCCATTTGCTGAAATGCAGATTTGCTGGTATGGAAAACAGTTCACAGATTTGGTGATATCCTCAAGGTAAGCAACAAAACTTACTTTCTCTTAGATTACAACTTGAATTTATAAAAATAAACCAACAACAAAATAAGTACCTAAACTACAACAATCCTGTGATTCCACCACACACTCATGCATTGGAACTTCACGCTGGCATCAGTTGTTTAAAAAGACCTAATTTCAAACTACTTGGATACTGTGATACTGTTCCTGGTGAAAGAGACCATAACTTTTTTTCCTCACCTTACCTGCCTTTGCAAAGCTTATGTATGATTAAAAGCAAACAACTCCCCATCAGTGTCAAAACTATTTGCCCACGTTGGAAAGAATGTCTTCTGACTGTACACAAAGCACCTGTCTAGAAAGTTAAACAGCAATGATCTTAGCTGGTGGTAAAGCACAGTTAGCATTTCAGTATCGTTATGCCCTTTCACTTCTCACATATTTATTTTGCATAAATAAATAAGCTTAGGATTCAGTTTTACCACCACAGTTAGCTGAGAGTACGGCACAGTATAAAACTTAAAAGTGCATCTTTGCATGGACAGCTAAGCTCAGGATCATAAAAGGCAAGCACTCTATGCAAAAATAGACAATGGAGACAAAATAAAAGCTGAGATGCAGTAACCGAACAATGTTGCGCTACTCAGGGAGAGCTGGTATTTCCCTTCTACTAAAAAAAACCAAACCTGGAGTTACACGTATCTCTCATAACGGTATTAAATTTCCATTGCAATCCAGTATTAGGTTTTCTTTGTTTTACTAAAACTATCCCAGCTTAGAGGAATAATCCTTTTTGTCAGGAACATGGATCTTCCAAGTGATGGCTGCAACAATGCCAAGGCAGCTAGGAAGGAAATAGTTCACAGAGTGCAAGATGCACAGCACAGCTTGAAATACAAAATATGCAGTCATGTTCTAATCCTTTAGAGCTTAGCACAGGCCGTGGCAAAATGGCTCTCCTTTCCTGTACTCTGCCAGATGTAACAAAAAAAAAAACCCCACAACCCTGCTTTACCATGGGTTATTGATCTCCACCTATGAGGAATCTTGCTAAAATCATGCATACTTCAGTTACAAGACTAGTAATAGAACTGTTTCTCCTTCAGTACTAGGCAATCAATCAGGCCTAGAGAGAAAATAGTTTGCACTCCTCCACGGGGAAAAAAAGAAAAACCAACCCTACTGTTTTCAATATTTAACACAATGTTAGTACATCCCAATTCCAGTTCCAAGGCCTTTACCGAGAAAACCTCCTAAAATGCACTGAAATTGGTGGAATGTTTATAATTTAAGTTAATCCTTGTACTGGACTGGTGCCCAGTTCTGACTGCACGAATACCCCAGTATTTTCCACATCTTCCTGCTCCCAGAAAAGAATGATAGCATTATAAATTAGAGACTCAGCAGGCTGTAATATTCCAACGTGATTCCTCTAGTCTTTCATCTTATGAGAAAGGACTGGAATATGGCATTGTACAATCAGTAAAGCTAAGCTCCCCTTTTTACGGAAAAAGGGCGTATTTAAAAGAACTTTCTATAGAAAATAAAGTTTCAAGTCTCCATATTAAATCTTTTTGATTTATAAAACAACAGAGTACTTCTTTTGCACCAGTGCCATTGTAAATACATGTATACAACACATCAAACAGTGTTCAGCTCAGTAGTGCACCCAAAAATCTTGCCAGTATCGAGCCCAACCCAGCAGGAACCCAACCCTCTCTCCAAGGCACGCAGCAGGAAAGAAACCTCAGAACTGTTATGGTTTTTTGCCCTAACTATATTCAGACACATACAATTTACTTTAAAAAAAAAAAAAAAAAAT